AAATGCATGCTGGCCCTAGCCAGTTTGGCTCAGTGGATAGAGTGTCAGCCTGTGGACTCAATGGTCCAAGCTTCCATTCTGGTCAAGGACACATGCCCGGGTAGTGGGCTTGATCCCCAGTAGGGGGTGTGCAGGAGGCAGCCAGTCAATGATTCTCTCTCATCGATGTTTCTATCTCTCTCTCCCTCTCCCTTCCTCTCTGAAATCAATAACAATACTTTTTTAAATGCATGCTGCATGCCAGAATAAGAATGAGCTACCACATACATCTGTAAGAATGACTTTCATCAAACAGCCCTTCCACAGCAAGTGCTGATGAGGAAGGATGTGGAGAAACTGGGACCTGGATGGTTCCTGGTGGGAAAGTGAAATGCCGCAGCCGGAAAGCAATGGGCAGTTTCTACAAATCTATACCACACCCCGCAGCACCTCTGCTCCCAGGGACCTAGACATCAAAACCTATTTCCAAAGACAGTCCAGTCACATCCACAGCAACATTACTCATGAGAACTCAAAAGTGGAAACAATCCAAATATCTACCTACTGGTGAGTGGAACAGGAAAGGATTGCCCATGGTATTAAAATACAAGGCCCATTGCGCTCCTTTATTTAAATGGTATTTCTAATCTATCCTTTCATAAATTCAAAATAGCTCTTTGCTTAGAGCCCAGGCCCGGCTCTAAACATTAATTTGTCCAGTTGTATCAATCTGTAGCCACTTAAAATATTCAGAACAAGTTTTCCCACAGTGTAAATGATTTTTTAATGGGCACCTTGTATATTATCCATTTCCAGCTCTAATTAGATTCATCTGGGGAAAACACCATTGGCTAAGTAACATAACGAACACTAGCTAAACAAAATGTTAATACAGTACTGTTACATCTAAAAAACATAATAACCAACGTTAATAAGAAACAGAAAAACTGTAATTTTGGTGGTTTTTCCCAATGCATTTTGTTCTATTTATAAACAAATATCTTGTTCACAGGGACAACAGGCAATATCTTCCCCCTTGTAGGCCACAGTGGTACTAATGCAAATGCTACTTACTGCATAGCAATTACATCTTTACTTTGCTGGGATGTATAAATAAAAATCATGATTTCCACAACTCAGTAATGAAAGTCTTGAGCATTAAGCAGATTACACATCCAGTCAGCTCTCATTTACGAGTTGTAATTTAATGTGGTTATTATATCTCTTAATGTGTAACTGCGGCATCGCAGAGCTGGGCACTGTATTTTAATCTAATAATAGCAGCTATAATATTCTGAAATGTGCTTCATGAATCAAAGCCATAATGTGCTTGCTGAGGGCTTGGATTAGCACTTCATGAGATCTAGATGTATCACAGCTGCGGGAAGAGGACAAAGGAAGACAGGACGGCTTTGAAGGAGCTGAAAAAAAGGTGGGAGAGACAATCGTTTTGAAAGAATCCCTTTTCCTTGCTAAGCAGAAGATGTAAAGGACTGCGGGTCTCCTGCATTTACAAAGAGAGTCTAATGGAGAAACACGCACCCATTTGCGGTAACACAGCGTGTCCTACTCCAAAGAAACCACCACAGGGTCAGGCCAACACTTTCTCATTCATCGTAGAAGCAGAAAATAGGAAACCCAGACGTCTCAGAGGCTTTTGATGGTTGTATAAAGAAGGATGGAGATTCAGAATGAGCTTCGGAGCTGAACTCAGCAGACACACTTTGCAGTTGTGCACTGAACAGAGAAATGGTGCAGCCCTTACAACGGCTAAAACCTAACAGGATCCCAGGCACCGCACCGCATGCAGATGAGTTAAACAGGAAATTCCTCTTAGTTTTTAGGCCGAAGTGTACTTTCTAATTCACTTTTCCACAGACTGATCTCTGCTGTGGGAGTCTCCCCACAGAGCGTCACCAAACATTTCCTGGGCATTCATCACATGACCAGCACTCCAGGGAGAGAATCCAGAGAAAACTGACACACTTCCAGTTACCAGACAATGCATACAGACCACTCCACGCTGACACAGTGATGGGAGAATGTGGGGGCAAAGAGAACTTTTCAAAGTAGATGATACTTTAGATGGGTGACCAGAGCCAGACAGGAGAGCAGTGCGGGCAGGAGGAAACTCGAACACCGAAGGTGTGATGGCACCTACTTGGAGAACGGCGGTACAGTCACTGTGACCGGAACACAGCACGGGTCCAGGAGGCAGGAGAGGAGAGGAGGCTGAAGAGACAGACAAAATGTCGGATGTGCTGGACCAGTAGGAAAGGATTCTACTCAAAAGATGCAAAATGTGGCATAAAGAATATGTCACTAAAAGGAGGTCTTCCACTTGCCCTCGAAAGATGGTAAAATGTGCCAACTCGTAAACACACATCATTTCATAACCATCAGCCAAAGTAAGAACTGCCTGATTCCCATGAACGAAACACAAGTGCATTCACATCCAGTGCGGAAAACCCAACAGAAACCAATCAGTAAAACTCTAAATCAAAACGTGCCGAATGACAAAAAGTATCCACACCGGTCCAGGCACCGGGGAAATGCTGTGGCTTCCATCCAGGGGACTGCACACGCATACACAAGAAAAGTCCGCTGTCTGCGGTGCTGGCGGCAGAACACAAAACTCCACCTCGAGGCTGATATTCCACAACTGGGGTGTCTAGTCTGGGAGCCAGTGGCCTCATGTGGCTATTTAAATTTAACGTGATTAAAATCAAATAAAAATTCCTCAGTTGCACTAGTCACATTTCAAGTGCTCAGGAGCTACCTGAGACTAGTGGTGCCTGCTGGACAGTGTAGACAACACATTCCCCTCACTGAGCAAGTTCCGTGTCCAGAGCTGTCCTGGAGCCATCATCACAGGGAGATGGGGAGAAAACGCCTTAAGAGCAAAAGTCCCATTATCGGTAACTCTGAGGCCTCAACTCACTTAACACTGAACTGGGGACACACGTGTACATTCAATGTGTTTGTGAGATTTAATATAAAAGAATTATGGAAACAGGGTAGTTATACTTATTTCACTCTGAGAAAAAGCTTAACCATCAAGAACTGAAGCTTTGCATCAGACTTTTAGAAGTACCTATACACTATATCGCATACAACTGGAGATGAGTTGGCAAAACGAATACAGCCAATTGTCTTCCAAAATAGTTAATGGAAAAATGAATGACATTTTACACTTTGAAAGTGAAGCTTATTAATGAAAGAAATCCTGTGGAAAGCCAATGTGTAAAAAGGATTATCATCAGTTATTTCATTAGAATATCAGAAACTTCGACCTAAAGAAATGCCAGTTTGAGGTTGCTAGAACAGTAATGGAAAGCTACATTCCATGCAGCAAACACTGACTGATAGAAAAGAGGTGTCAGTGGGTATATACTCCTCCGTAATTGGTTCATACAAATTTTATTCCTGAGGATCTCAATGAGGAAAAGGGAAAAGGGGGAAAAGCCAATAAAAAATGGGCAAAAGTATCGAACAGGTTCCTAAGATAACGCCACCTCATTAGTAAATGAGAAAAATGCAAATCAAAATCACAAGATGTCAGCAGACACTCAAGAGAATAGGCTAAGTTTTAAAAACCAGCCACCCAGGGAGGTGGACTGCAGTCAATGGCACTCTCAAACACTGTGGTCAGGGTGCCATGGGCAAGACCCTGTGGGAAGCCACTGGCGAGTGTCCACAGAGGCTGAGCATGCGCACAGCTGGCAGCACACACCTCCAGGCCGGGTGGATGCCAGAAGACAGGTATGCTCCTGCTCACCAGAGAAACACACACAGTGATGCTGCAGCATCGTTCTTAGAAGCTAAAGTTGAAACCAACGTCAATCAGCATCAGACGGAGAAACTGCCACATGTGCACATGCATTAATTCTTATACAACAGTAACAGGAAATAACACACTGCACGTAACGGCACGGGTGACTCTCGCAAATGCAACAGTATAAAAACGGGTCCAATTAAACTATTATTTTGGGAGGGGTGTGAAAGGTATTAAAATTATTTAAAACAAACAAAAAAACCACACAAAGATCTGGGATCAATGAGTCAAGGCAGTGGGGCTCTCTGGGAGGAAAGAGACAGCCTGGAGACTGAATAGAGAGGAGGGGGCTATGGCAGGCTGGTCACGTGGGGGGTGTTACTGTGTGGAGGTGTCACTGCGCGGAGGTCTCATGGATGCTTTCCTGTGATCATTTCTTGACCTGCACATTTTTATATTGTGTCTTTTTTCTATGTGAATGTTATACAGGTTAGGGCAAAAGTAGGTTCACAGTTGTTTGTATGGAAAATATTATAATAATTGATAAATAATAATACAAGAATAAACTGTGTTTTGTGTATTCACAACTATAAACCTACTTGTGCCCCACCCTATATTTCACACACAAAAATGTTTAAAAGAAAAACAGTCTCTACAGACGTAAAAAAAAAAGAAACATGAAAGAACTTTTACCATTTGCAACAACATGGATGAAACCGGAGAGCATTATGCTAAGTGAAATAAGCCAGTCGGAGAAAGATATGATCTCAATCATATGTGGGATATAACCAACAACATAAACTGATGAACAAAAATAGATCCAGAGACAAAGAAACACTGAACAGACCATCCAACCTCAGAGAGAAGGCAGGGGAAGGGGGGGAGGCAGATAAGAGATCAACCAAAGGACTTGTATGCATGCATAGTAGCATAACCAATGGACACGGACACTGGGGCGGTGGGGGCTTGTCCTGGGGGGCAGGAGTGGGGAGGGAGGGGTCAATTGGGAAAAAAGGAGACGTATGTAATACTTTAACAATAAAAAAAAAGTTAAAAAAATACTTTATTACGAAAAGCGCTAACATCAAAAAAAGAAAAAGAAGTGCGTGTGCGCCGGTGCATGCAGACACACACACACACACACACACACACACACGCACACACGTCCTGTACACCAGGTCAGGTGGCTCCCGTTTCGTGCCACGCCCAGGCACCTTCCAAACCCTCCCCCCCAACACCAACTCACCTCCTGCGGCGCTTTGCTAAGTAACGGCGCAGCACTGACACTCTCCTCTCCTTCCCGGTGGATCTGGAAATTCACCCTTTGGTAAAGAATCTGAAAAAAGAACAAGACACATGATAAAGAAATGTGTTTTTAAACTTGCCTCTCCTCCCAGTGCAGGTGGACATCTGAACGCTCTCCGTGGAGGAGACGAGGCCTGCTTCCTCCTGAACAGTCTGGGGAGCGGGACTGCGGCCCTCGGGACGGCTTCACAAGGACCCCACCATTTCAGAGGTGGAATCAAGTGAGAAGCCCGATGTACGATGAAGGAATAGGACATGCACGTGGGAATTCCAGAGCCTCTTCCTCTGTTTAGAAGTGTCCCCGGGAGCACTCTCCTCCCTTACACAGAACTCCCCGCGGGTGTTAGGAAACTCACCGCCGCCCCAGCCCACTCCCGGCCGCTAAGGACCACTAAGGGATGGTGCCACCACTGGGTTCTGAATGTATTTTACATGACCATGTCTTAGTTTTATTCTTGACAACACTAACTTTTCCCACCATATTCAATAATTTATTTCTTGATATTAATTTCTATTTTTCTCTCACCTGCTTTGTATCCTTTCTTCCTGGCTACAATAAAGCAAACAACAGTTTTATACCCTGATATCTTCAAATTCCTTTTCATGTGAGTAACAAGCTATTTTTCTTCCCTAACTTAAAATGCTTATTTTGTTTCCTAAAATGACCACAAACCACACCCCACACCCCAAAAACGCTCTTCACACAGTTCAGATCCACAGTGTTGGAAGCACTTACTTCTGTCTGCAGGGAGCTGCTAGCTGCCAACAGGGGCTCAATGATGCCGGGAGGACAATGCGTCAGCGCGAAAGCCATGAGCTCCTGACGAGTGGCCAAGTCCTGGTACCCTTCTGATTGTCCTAGCTGGCTGCAAACATCCCAACTTTTAGAATAACCTGCAGAGTTAACAAGAAAAATCACACTGACTTTAAAAGAGAAAACTCTCCAATCTCACATGAAAGTGTCAACGCTTTCTGCTCAAGTCTGTGTCACCAGAGCAGGACCATAGTCCGCGGTGATGCTCATTTTAGGAACCAGAAGCACACCAGGACACGGCAGAGCAGGAGCAGTATGCTGGTCTATCGGCCAATTGGTCAGCGCCACTCCAGACACGTGTTTCTGATCAACTCTGTTAAGTTTCAGATTGCCTGACAAGGACTACAAATAATCTACTTGGATTTTGAGTAAAAAGCAGGAAGTCTGGCCCGATCAGCATGGCTCAGTGGTTGAGCATCGAACTATGAACCAGGAGGTCATGGTTCAATTTCTAGTCAGGGCGCATGCCCAGGTTTCAGGCTCGATCCCCAGTGTGGGGCGTGCAGGAGGCAGCCCTTGATGATTTCTCTCCCATCATTGATATTTCTATCTCTCTCTCCCTCTCCCTTCCTCTCTAAAATACTTAAAAACAAAACCCAGAAAACCTGGATGTGTGCATTCAGAAAACGTACGGCTTTGGCCCAAGCCTGCTCCACACACTTGTGTGAGCTGGAGAAAGTTCAACTAATCACACTTCCTCTACTACGACGGACGAGACAATAATGCCTTCCTCGTTGGGCTGTTGGAATGGTTAAATGACACTTGTATTTAAAAGTACTTTGTAAACTGCAAAGTGCTAGAAACAGAAATTATTCTAGACAGCTCCACAGACTCGTTCGCTTTATCGAAGACAGAGATCCAAGGAGCGAGCCAGGAGCACAGTCAGCCCTTTTATTCTTTTATTACACACTTTTATTCTTACTCCAAGGAGTTCCAGTTTGAAAGTAGCGTTTTTTCTCTAAAAGTACAAAGGCTCCCGCCTAAAACAATTCCTATAAATATATAAAGTAAAACTTAAGCCAGGTACCACCACTAATGGGAATAAAATTATTACAAAGCTCTCTAAGTAAAGAATTTTAGAGCAATACAACAATGGTTTTCCAGAAAACCACAATTATTTTAAACTTAATGTTGCAAAATCACTTGGTTAATATTACAGAACATGGCTCTTTTATGAAAATACCTTTCTAATGCTGAGGTTGTAAACCGTGAGATTTCCCGTATGTCAGGCATTTCACAGCTGCACTGACAGCAGCTCTCTCCTTGACTAAACCACAGTCAGGCTCATCTGAACCTTGTCCCGACCAGGCCTCCCGCTCGGCCCAGTCCCTGCTGAGCCTGCAGAGCCCGCAGAACCCAGTTTCAGCAAGAATCCTGCTAAGTCAGGTCACCCCTGATCACTAACCACCCTGGACATCTGGCCAAATTCCTTACCCTTCACCCTTGACATCTGACTGCCCAGCCCTGCCTTTAGCAAGAACCTGCCATGATGGGTCAGCAAGAACGCCACTCCCCTCGATGTGTCATTGCAGCCATGCTTCATATCCACTGCCCCGCTCCCTCTGTTCCTCGGCTATACACCCCCAGTTGTCTTTTTTACATTCAGAGTTCAGCTCGGTCTCTCTCCCCTATTGCAACAGCCTCAACATCCATTGCACAAGCCCTGAATAAAGTCTTCCTTATCATTTTTAACAAGTGGCAAAATAACATTTTAACAGAATACATACCAACGGTGCACAAGTCAGAGGTGCACAGTTCTGTGAATTATCACAGAGTGAGGCAATGCACTTTAACCGCTGGCTGCGAAAGCACAGATGGAGCAAGAGATGCGCTTGGGCTTCCATATAGTCAGGCATTGCTGCAAAAGTCGGTCATTCCGTGCAGAGCCCGGCATAAGACGATACCACTGGGGAATGTGCTGCTGTTTATCAGAGAAACTATTCTACAATAACACCGGCCTATCCTCCACAGACCTGAATTAGAATTTTAATATCCAAAACTTTAGGGTTTCAAACTACTTCCCAATTTCTCAATATCTGTTTAAAAAGCTCTATCCCATCTTCTAAAAAAAATTTAAAGAACAGAAATATTGACTATATAGTCACAAATGGTAGATACTTTGAAAACTTAGACTTACTTTTAAATAACAAATACATAAAAAGACACTATATTTTACATAAACTTGTCCTTAATCTTATGAGGCTGTTTTAATGGGGAATGGAAAGCAACCAAAATCTCAGATACAATACAAGCTCTGAGTCCATTAAAGAATTTAGATACATATACAAGCACGTGGCGTAAGCACTTATCAGTGCTCACAGATGCTCCCATCTCATGACCATATGCCGGCTGACCAATCAGGCCAGCTGATCTCAGAGCAGACCCTGCCATCCGCATCGCCTAAAGCGGATATGAGCAAAGTGCTAAGGGTGGCCTAGCTCACCTGCGGCCATCAGCTCCTGACAGTGCACACTGGCTGCTTTGTAGTCATGGAAACGGAGTGCTTGCTCCACCAGAAGGATCAGAACCTGGCCACGCCTTTCTTCTGGGTCTTCACCTGTAAACACATACAAATGACTTCATGGTTTCGCAGCATCAATTCATAAATGAGCTCACGAACCCATCTCTCAAAGTAATTTGAAAATAAAGTCAAGATGAAACTGATTTTAAAAGATGATAGGACAAAAGGTCACAGCAACTTTTACTTTCTAACCTACTTATGAATCATGGAATTAGGTCTGTCTCCTGAGCAATAGTGATTAACAGCAGCCAGACCACCACCCCAACCCAAGGGCGTGGAGGAAAATTGGGCTCTAAACTTCCTTGGATTCTAAGCTTCTTGCTACAAACAAATTTCACTTTTGTATGTTGCCCTTTGAATGTTCTATTTCTAATAATAATTTAAAATGACAGATATAAGGAGGGAAAAGTTTAAACACGAAGTAAAATAGATATAATTTTATTGTTTCACTGAAGTGCTCATCTTTTATCATAGTGAACATCTAGACACTAAGAAATTATACCAAATTCAGCTTACATTAACACAGAGATCTTAAATCACTTTCCCAAGAACATTCTTAGAAGTCAGCTTGAACGTCACTTCCTTCTTGGGCATTTCCACACGTCCTTCATATAAAATCCATGGTTAGGTGTGCCTCCTACATGTTCCTTTATTTCCCATTCACCGAATACAATTTATTGCCATTATATTTCTAACAATCTGCACCTTCTATCAGGATTTAAGCTCCTAGGACAGGGGCTGCTTCGTATTGAATCCTAAAGACCCAGCCCAAGTCCTGCAAAGAACAGAGGCTCAAAAAAATATCCTCAGTGAAATGGGCACAGATTCAATTCAGAATGTACTTTTCAATTATAAGACAAATAATTCAAAGTTACAATAAAGACAATTTGTCTATTTAGGCTAAAAAGAAAAAAGATATTTTATATTTTAATGAGGTAATAGAACCTTAAAATTATTTTTAATATTTCCAGGAAAAAATATGTATATGGTCTTTGCATTTTTAAGCTATAAAATGGTTGAAAGAAAAAGCACACATATCACAGAAAGGGTTGAATGAAACTTTAAAATTGTTCCCATGAACCTTCCCTGTGCTTCACAGGTTTAAATAAAATCCAAGGCGAGTACTGGCTCAAGGCCGTCTAAAAACTGTTTCTGAAAAGAGCTGCTCCAGCACTGGGATCCTATCATAAGAACAACACACTCGTGTTAGAACACGCCTCCCTAGACTGTGCAGGACCATCAAGACCAGGCTGACTCGGGAAGAGCTTCTGCCTCCCCCTTAACTGCCTAGAACTTGGATAGACAAGGGGGCTATACCCGGCAGAGAGCTATTGCCAGAGATGACTCTGACATCAGAAGGACTTACCTGTGTGGTGTGGCAAACATCTGTTCACCAAACACCTGCTCTTCCCACCACCCTGTAAACTGCCTTCCTCCCCTCGGAAGCCCAAACCCCCACCCTTTCCCCTCTGCCCAGGATGGCATAGAAGCCTCAACTGCCTTTGAATCTCATGTCTTTATGGGGCTCTGGAAGGAATGAAATGAAATGTGTGTTTCCCCTATTAATCTTTTTTTGTGTCAAATTAATGATTAGAAGGAAAGAAGGGAACATCTTCCACCCCTGCAGTAACATGTAATATAGGAAATGGAACAATGTGTGTAAGTTTATCAATAACAAATGCACATATCACAATCAATGGAAAACCTATTTCCTAGATAATACTCTTGAAATGTTTGCGTCTATTCAAAATATCTAATCACAAGTGAGAGGGCAGGTGTGACTTCCCTCCTTGGGCAGTGTGGCTGGGCTACAGACACTAATCCAGGTGTCAATGTGAAGTGCAGCGAAAGCCCCTAATCAGCTGACGTTAAGTCAGGGTCCACTGATTACCATCATCCAACGTCTAAAAAGGTGGAAAAGCACAGTAACAGTAAAGGATTCAAAGTAAGGAATAAAGTATTTAACCTCTTTATTCCTGTTTCCACATGTGCAAAGTGAGATTCAGAGTCCCGCCATAAGGGACACAGTAAGAAGTAACTTAGGTAAGTATAAGAGCGCAAAATGAGAATGACTGCTGTTTTCATGTAAACTTTTATGTGAAGATGGGTCCGTCATCTTGAAGTCCAAAGTAGAAATAGTAAACTGCTTTTAATTCTAGAAAGTTCCATCTGAGCAGGTGATTAAAAGGAAAAGCATAACCAAAAATAGGCCTGAAAAGAATGATTCCTAGGAAAATGCTCCAAACAGAACAAAATAAGACTCTGAGGGAGAACGGCCAGGAGGGTGGCGGGACTGGAAGCTGTTGAGGAAAACACCGCTGTCTGGCCGGAAGCAAAGAAGGCTAAGGAGGACATGACGAGGCTTTGGGTCCATGAAACGGAACTGACACCACATCCACAGATGCGAGTCTCTAATGATGCAGCTTAATGCCCGCCCCTTGCATGGAGGCTGGTTGGCGATTTACTTTGACAAACAGTGAGGTGGAAAAGACGGTGTGTGACTTCTGAGACGAGGTCGTAAAGGCATTATGTTAAGGGGACACTCAAGAAGTCCTACGGAGAGGCCCACGTGACGTTTCTGTAATATGCCCATCATCTGATGTCCGCCCAGGACAGTGGTGAGAGTAACACAGAAACCTTACTCTGCAGTTTAGCATTCGGAACGTACCAGCGACCCTCAGCAGCTCGGCGAGGCCCAGCAGCTTGGCGGACTGCTTGTAGCACGTGGGGGACTGGCAAAGGCACTCCTTGATGAGGCTGAGCCGGTCGGAGTGCAGTCGCACTGCAGAGAGAGAGAGACCAAATGACAGGCATCAGCAGCGGGTACATGACCTCCCTAACGAGAGACAACAAAACGGAATGAGAACTGTGCTGGCCTCCAGATCAGTAAGGAGTGAAAGACACAACTTTTAAAACAGGTAAAATTATTGTTGCTTCTGAATAAATAACGTACAACATGGATCTTTCCTGCCACCAAACATCTGAAGCAGCAAATGAACTGGCATTTGGAAGCCAGGAAGAAAGCATTTTATTTCCTAACAGCTAGCTTAAGTGACTGCTGCTATTTCTGCTTTCCAGATGATGAAATCAAGGCACAACAATAGTCTCTACTTCGTAAGGCATGTATGAGAATTCATAAATACACATAAACACACATGAAGTATATATACATAGAACATAAAATCCTCAGTAAATACTAGTTATTATTATTACTACTGACATTCACAGAAATGCTAATTAAGTATGGTATCCTCTACTGTAAGGATTTTTAATGTTTCAAGATGTAACTGTCAGGGGAATATTTTATTATTATCCCCATCTGAGGAAGGAGAAGTTCAAAAACTTTAAGCTGCCACAGGTCACTGAGCGCCAAGTGGCTGAATCGGCATTTAAACTCCTACAGGACACCCCAGTGTGGCTCTGTCTTGTTATCAATATGCCAGTCCCTCCAAGCCAGCAAGTGTGCCTCACTCATTCCCTTCACTATTTCAGTTCCTGGAATAAAGTGCCGAATTCAATGTTCACTGATGGAAGGAAAGAGGAGGAAGGGAGGAACAGGAAGGGATGGTGGAAAGGAAAAGAGGGAGGGAGCACGAGGAGGCAGGTGACACCATTCTGATTCCACCCTCAAGTAGAAAGTGCCAAGTACATTCAACTAAAAGAACAAAAATGACAGCGTATACTTGGAGAGCTTAAGCACAGAGTAAGGCTGAGTTGCCTGTCCATTTACCCAGTGGTAAGCGACAAAACTGGCTCAAGGCTGGGTTTCACCATGTGCTGTTTGTCTGGAAAACTGACTTATCCTATTACAGAAAGAACCTGGGAGACAACTAAAATGTCCTAAATCTGCTCATTTGAATAGTAGGAATAATTCACATAAGCACCCAAGCTATAGGGAAAAGCACACACGTGTACACATACAAATAATTCGTAGGAGACTCATACATTAGGAATCATTTCTATATAATATTTTCACTCCTGTTTCCTATTAACTCACTGATTATAACTTAGCCAGTACCACTAGCCTTCACCTGATGAGAAACAGTAACTCCTGAAGGGCAGGCAAAAACAACTTCAAAACAAAGCAAGGTGACAAAAAGAACATTGTTCCCTGACTACAGCACAATACCTGGGCCCTAAATCTCCCAATATCAAGTTCCTTTGTCGGTCCAGTGTCCCTGACGAATACAAAGGCAGCGTAAACAGCAGACAGCATACAAAGGACACATTCTGTCTCCACATCCAGAAGGTCTTCTAACAGAAACTCCCAATCAACAGATCAAGCTGGGAGGACAGGAAGGCAAACGTCTTCCTTCAGACTCTCCTACGGCAGGAAATGCCTCAGAAGCTGCTGCAGGATTGTAGGTCTGGTTGCAGATATTCAAACCCATCAGCTGCTGTGCTAACACTGCCAGCAAAAACACTGCTAGCAGAGTACCATAGCGTTTCAGAGCTAGAGATGGAAGGACTTCAGCTATCCTCCCCCGCCCCCAATTCCAAACACTTCCAGTTAGGAATAAAGACTAGAGATTACACTGAAGGCAGCCAAGCATGCCCCTAAGAACCAAGCTACCTGCTGCCTTTAGGGCACTGAGGTCCAGGGTTGTGGGAGGGTTTTTAATCTTGTTTTTATTGCCAGAGGAATGAAGACAGAGGAATGAAGAGGGAGCCAGAGATAGAACCATCAATGATGAGAGAATCATTGATCAGCTGCCTCCTGCACGCCCCCTACTGGGGATCCAGCCGCATCCTAGGCATGTGCCCTGAGGGGGAATTGAACCGAGACCTCCTGGTTCATGGGTCAACACTCAACCACTGAACAGCACTGGCCTGGTGAGTCCAGGGTTTGAAGCAACAGAAACTCTCCCTCCCACCTGTGAGGAAAAAGTCAGGGCAGGGGGAGATGCACTCTGTACTCACAGCACACAGTAGACAAGGACAAGTAACTTGTGTTGGCTGGTACTCACCTGATACTTACATTTAGGTAAAAGATCTTGAGCAATGTCAAGATATTGCTAACAATTAGACTCTCAACAGGAACTTGTTACCCCCTCTTTAAAATTACATTATAGATCTATTAAAGAATAGTCTTCAGTAAGCATGAAATGAAATATTATCATATATAGCTACTTCTAAATCTATGCAAATAAAACAAAATGCAGAAATAAACTATATACCAAAATTGATGTAAATCTGCAATTCTCATCCATAATCCCAATTTCTGTCTTTGTTTTTATCCAGTAGCCTCGCTGATGGTACTAATGTTATTTCTTTCATTGTTATAAATGTAACCTTGAAAAAATAAAATTATGATAAAATGTCCATTTTCTTTTTTCTTCTGGATTTCCACTTAAGTTTCATTTGAAAAATGGCTGGGATCTACTGCTGATGGATTAAATAACCAAAGGTACTCTTCAGTTTAAAAAACTAAAAAGACACAGTAGGAAATTAATGCAAAATAAGTGATCAGTACAACACTAAGCAGATAACTCACCTTGCAAAGGCAGGATCTTGACCCCAAATTCCTCTAGGCATCCGACGGCTTGGATAAGGTCCAGCTCCTCTTCAATGGCAGGGGGCTTGTCTATGATCAGCTGTAAGCAGCACCTAAGAGAAATGAGACCCATTTTAAAAAGCAGTAACAAGCTTGGCTGAGTTGCCTTTGTATATTGAACAACATAAGATCCAACACATATTTATCAAAAACCTACTACTTCCAAGTGTTCCGCAGATGCTTTCTGTTCTCTCTCAGTCCTCAGGACAAGCCCGTGAGACAGGCAAATAGCATCACTTGCTTTTTGAGGAAGCCACAATCGGAGCTCAGAGAGGTAAGTGATTTGTGCAGGGTTACACTGATAGGAAGCAAGATATTAGAAAGGATGAAAATAAAGACGGGATGCAGATAATTTCCAGCTATTCTTCTAGCAAAAACAGAAATGTCTTGATTCAGTGACAATTTTGTCTCCCCCGAGACCTGAAAAAGGAAGAGGCGGTTGGTAATGTACTAATGCGGCAATAAAAAATAGGAGAAAGTGATTTGCTAATTTAAGAATCTGTAATAACTTTGAAATATTTTAAACAAATTCTTTAAAATCCAGAGACTGTCTGGCCAATGTGCCTCAGTGGTTGAGCATCAACCCATGAACCAGGAGGTCATAGTTGGATTCCCAGTCCATTAAAGAAGAATAAAACAAGCTGACATATAGTAAAATTATATGTATTCATATGGAAAAATCTTCAATATAGATCATAAATGAAAAAACAGCAAGATACAGAAAAGTATGTAGAAGTAGTAAGCACTTACTTGTGACTTAGGAAAGAAGGTAACATTTAATATTTTGGAAGGACACATAGGAAACTAATATAAAAAAATAGCTGAGGGGTAAAGTCAGGGAAACTAGAATGAGGAGAGAGGCTTATTGTTAATGTATATCCGTTCTGGATTGTTTGACTATTTTATCTTGTGAATATTCATAACTGCTTCCTCTATCAGAAATATTAGTTAATAAATAACAGTTTAACCAATAAGAATGTATGGGCTATTTCTACATTTAATACCACTGGGAACATTTAAATACATCCAGCTCACAGGTCTCCATCAGTTTGGTGCCACATTATAGACTTTTGACATCTTTTAAAAATTAAGGTTGTCCTGTGGCAGAAAAAAGGGATGGAATGAAGGAGAAATACAGGAAGGGCAGTTTTTAAAATTGTCTCTGAGAACGCCTGCCAAAAAGATGTAGGTCAAACCACTCCCCGCTTCAAAGGCTACTCTATTTGGTATTTTCATCATCTGACATGCAATCCCTTGTGAGAGAAGACAAAAATTTACTATTTAAACAATTTCATCAAGGTCATGGTTTGAGAAAACATGGTTTTTCTCTGTGGTAAGATATCACTGGAAGAAACAGTTACCTTGAAGTTTTGCTAGAGTTGAAATAACTAGTCATTTGGGGGTAAAAATAAATCTAAATAGCTTCCACAATCATTATGTCAAAATAAATTCCAAATGGGCATAAAATTCCAATGTAAAAATAAAACCATCAGAGTGGTAAGAAATGATAATAAAAACTATTTTAATGGCCTTAGGAATTAACAACCTCCAAAGGATGACACAAAAGACCACAACCATAAGAGGAAAGAAGAACAATCAAATTTTTAAAAAATTCTGATAGCAATTTAAAAGATAAATTATATAAAATAAAAACTTGGCAACACAGTTAAAATGTTTAAGGCAGGCAAAGGGCAATGTCCCTTATGCAAAAAAAAAAAAGGTCCTAAGCATCAACAGTAAAAAGGTGAACTCTAAACTTCCAGTACAACAGGCCAATGGGGAACTGAATTCATATTCGAGAAATTTCCACCTGTAAGGGAATTCTGAGCTTTATCATCTCATCTGAGCGGAAGCCATGGGAGGGAGGCAGACATCACCTAACTGTGCTGGAAACTGCCAGAACTTGAATTTCCAGGCTGTCACCGAATCTCTTCCCACAGAAGAGGAACACAGCCTACAGATAATCAGCAGAAATGACGATGGGGAAGCGTTCTGGGGAAAGGGGTCGAGAGGAAGCTGATGAATATTCATAACACAATGAAGCTTATTCTCTATGCAAGCAATAAATAACTGTGCCCCATACAGCACGGACAGGGTACAGGCGTGTTAGTGGATGTTGTAAGTAAAGAATAAAACCCACGATGCTGTCTGTGTCCTGACGCCCCGCCCCTCGGATGGAAGAACACAGGCCCTCTACCTGGCCAGGTCCATGCAGCTGTCGGTGAGGCTGGTGGAAGAATTGAAGTACTCCCTGCTGGCAGCCAGCACCAGGTCGACGCTGGCCTCGTAGCTCACCCTGTGCGGGGCCTTCCCTCTCTGGGCAACGCTCGCTGGCGGGTGTGCGGGGCCCGCGCAGCAGTGCATCATCTGCCCAGCCAGGTGGATGTTTTCAAGGCGACTGGAACACAGGAGACTCTCTGCGAATATCTGGGGAAAACAAGAAACTGGAATGAATGCTTAAAAAAAGAGGATTCGATTCTCAACTCAGTGAAGGTTCTGCCGTCCAAATGAAATAAATTACAAATACTCCCATCCTGGAGGTAGCAGCTGTGTATGTTGCAAATACACTAAATGATAACGAAGCACACTTTTATGCTATGTAAATTTCACCTCAATTAAAAAACTCCCTCTTCTAGAAGGAATAATTTAACCAAGCAAACCAATATTAAACATAATATTCTAATTGTGTTACAATGAATATTTAAGTAAAATATCTAAAGTTCATTCTCATTTCAAAACAGAATCTATTAGAATACTGTCCTACACTCAACAGGGCCACTCTGTTTAAACTATTTAGAACCACTTCAATTTTTAAAAATAAAATGTTTGAATATAATACATATAATTCACGACTGCTTAAAGCATCTAAACTCAGTCTTACTAATTAAAATAGCCAAGCTACCAATGTCATACCTAGACCTAGCCACTGAAATTACAATGTACCACATAACATGGAGGCTTTTTTCCCAATCTGTAAATTAAAGTTATTTAAATGAAACAAGAGCCCCTGATGGGAGGTACTCATGCAAATATCACTGTATTCCACTAGGCAACAAATATCATCAACTGACATAAATTGTTTCCTATAATTAAGATAGTTTAAAGGGGGCCAACATATGGTGATGGAAGATGATCTGACTTTGGGTGATGGGCACACAATGCAATACACAGATTATGTTTCATAGAAATTACACACTGGCAACCTATCTGATCTTATTAACCAATGTCATCCCAATACATTTAATAATTGAAATAAAACAAAAGAATACTGCAATTATGAATGTAGAATTTATTATAGAAAATGTGTGAGTGCAAAAAAATTAAAACCAGCACTAATCACAAAAAGGAAGATTACTTACTTCAGAAATGTCTTAAATAAAGACAGCCTTTTAAACCTACACTAATAATATCAATATATAATTAGAACAAGGACTTCCCTAAGAATGCTCTGCCCAAAAATGCCACTGTGGATGCAGATAGCACAGAAATAGAAAAAATGAAAAAAAGATTTCGTGAAGAAAAAGAGTTTCCTTGTCATTAGTAATACTGTCCAATTTTCACGTTTCTAGGCTTCTGAGGAAAGCATCTTTAGACAGGCCTTTACTGAAATTACTGGTAAGAATAAAAGTATTAATTGTGACAGAAAGCACATCACCCTAACCACTTATACCTAACAGGTGAAAATGGCTCACTCCAAGTGACCCAAGTAACTTCGATGTAACAGTTTCTCTGATCCTTTGGAAGGAGTCAATGCCCAATACTGAAAAATACAATTTACTCACTAAAATGTAAAAGGCTTTGCTAAAATGAAGAATACAAATTTCTGCTCTTTAGGCTGTAAAATATTTTCAAAATTCTGCCAGTGAGCTTACAAATTATTTTCCAAGGACAGCAAAACCTAATATAAGGGCCAAAAGTCAGTAAGATAATACAGTATAATTTAAAAGATATCCTATCTAATAAAGAGAGAATATGCTAATTGACCCTCACGCCTTCACAAAGATGGCAGCGCCCACAGCCAATAAGGAGGAAATATGCTGACTGACTGCCCCGCCTTCAAAGATGGTGGCACCCACAGCCAATAAGGAGGGAATATGCTAATTGACTGTCACGCCCTCAAAGATGATGGCACCCATAGCCACAAGATGGCTGGCAGGGGAGAGCAGTTGGGGGTGACCAGGCCGGCAGGGGAGGGTAGTTGGGGACGGCAGGGGAGGGCAGTTGGGGGTGATCGGGCTAGCAGAGGAGCAGTCAGGCATCAATCAGACTGGCAGGGGAGTGGTTAGGGGGTGATCAGGCTGGCAGGTATAAGCAATTAAGGGCAATCAGGCAGGCAGGCAGGCGAGCAGTTGGGAGCCAGCAGTCCCAGATTGGAGAGGGTACAGGCTGGGCTGAGGGGACCCCCCGCCCCCAGTGCATGAATTTCATGCACCGGGCCTCTAGTTAAACAATATTTAACAAGGTAAGTTTGCCAAATCTATATTACCTGCTTCTAGAACCGTTTCAAAACTGTTACAATATGCTTTCAAATGTTTTCTCCAAGGTGAGAAACTAATGGCCAGAAGTCACTGAAATGCCAAAGCCTAATGAAAAGGTGTTAAAATGTAATAAAAGTGATTTAATATGTCAAGTTGTTTATGACACGTTGCTCCACACAGGAGCTAGTTCAAGTGTAATATACTTACTAACAATTTTTTAATCAGAATCAGAAACAGGAAAATACTAAAATAATGTGACTCCAACTTAAAGACACCAATTCAGACATACAAATGACAGGTTTGGACCCCAGGTGCATACAGATATTTTTACCCTGAAACTGGAATTCAAGTTCCACATTAGATACAAAAGAGAAGTTGCTGGCAGTTGTAATGGTCTGACACTGTAACCATAAATTAAAAACTTTATACTCGTTCAAGCATTTAAAAACGTGAAGCTCAAATTTAAAGCCATTCATTTCTCAACAGTCTGCATGCTCTTTTGTTAAAATCGCCTTGAATTAAAATACCAACCTACTTCATAAAAGAGGCACCTATTTTTATAATTCTCGTTTTATCAACAAGTCATGCTTTGCAGAGCACAGTGACACAAGAAATAGTCTATATTTTGTATCAAGCTTAACAGGAAAATTCAAATAAGAACCCTTTTTTGTTCTTAAAATTAAAAATGGGTTAGATACGTTTTTCTATACAAACTATGAGAAATTTGGTGTAAAACACGTCTCTCCCAAAAGAACGAGTAAACCCCCGTCGGTTGCCTCCCAGTGCATTAACGACCCGCCTGCAGGAGCCTCTGTGTCCCAGATCCGAGACGCACTGGGGAACGCGGGGGTGAGCATGATGCGATGGTGCCCACCGAGGAGCTCATGGCCAAGCGGAGGAAACACACAGAAAGAAGGAACTGCACTGAAAAGAAAGGCAAGTCACCCGAGAGGACAAAGGGAGGCTTTGTAGAGGGCGTAGTGAGCTGAGTCCTGAAAATGATCAGCGATTTTCAAACAAAGGCAGGAGAAGTAAGTATATCCAGGCACAGGGAACAGGCGTGCCGTCGCAGAAACGTGAAGCAGCACGGCGCGTGGAGGGATCCGAGCCAGATCTGCCGGAGCGGACGGGGCGCGGCACCTGGCGGCCTGGTGGATGTCAGAGGTGAGCGGGGACAGGGAGGCGGGAGTCCGCTGCGGCTTCCGAGGCCGGGCCGAGAAGTGGGGGTGACTGCTGGTAACTGACAGGGAACGAGCAGCAAAGGTTAGGAAGGAGGGTGTCTGTCTGGAAAGATCTGTTTTAGAAGAAGAGTGTGGGTCCCTGTGAACGTGAGACGTGGAAGTAGAGAGACGAGGTGGAGGATTATTGCAGGAGAGATGAAGACAGGATGGGTTTCTCAGTAAATAAGGCACAGTACGTAAGCTTCAGTGACCAGAACTGGGGAAGGGAGAGGGGTCAGGTGTGACTCAGAGTTTCCTAGCTGAGGACTGCTGACCCACTAACTAGATGGGGTTGCAATGAACAAAGAGAGGGGAGAGAGGAAGCGAGGTAGAAGGGCACCCAAACTATGAAGCGCTACTCCATCACCAGCTATTACTCCACAGGACCACTTCCAGCGAAGTCACTGCTCCCCACCGTGTGTCCAATAAACGATCTGTATCAACCAGATTTCTACATCCAAGGAGAGAAGCCACACCATGGGTTACCTCGTAGCAAGCATCCGACTCCAGGCACGTGTAAACGCTCTGCTGCATGGCCAGCATGTCCTGGAGCAGCGTCCTCCAGTGGGACTCACTGACGGGGGGCTGCCTGGGGGAACAGAGGAGAAAAAAATAATAATGACAAGTCCTGAAATCTCTCCAACGGGCCAAGAGCGGAAAAAACAAAAACACATACACACATACACACAGAAAACTGCTGCCACCATTCTCTATGCCACAAGCTCCCAAATAATCAACAGAAACATATCTCGTCTGAATCTGCAGGAATAATGTTGGGTTGAAGACAGGAAAGCCGGGCAGCACTGCCTCAGTGCTAGAGATGCTGCCAGGCGGCTCCTCATCAGCCGCCTAGACATGAAACTGGGAGAGTGCTACCAGGCAACAGCCCAGGGAAACCCCTGGGAAGGCCTGGGGCCAACCAAAGCCCAGTGCGAAAGCGGCTGCATCTAGCAGAGAAAGCACTGGGCCATGGGAGATGGGGTCTCCAATCCCACCTTCCTCACTCTGCAGCCCTCAGCCGGGGTCTGCTTAACTTCCACTACACATGTGGACCCAGAGGCCACCACCGGCCACACGTGGCATCGGTCCAGACGCTGGACCCACAGCACACCAGCAAGGACATCACCTGTTCCTCTCAGGGGGAGACTTCGCTGCAGTCCACAGAGCAAGTGGTCACAGGATTCTGCAGGGGTTGCCTCCCTCCCAGGTGCCAGCCCAGATGCAAGAAGACGGAGCCTCACAGTGTAGTTGCAGGATCCAGCCTTTCTAGCTTGGGAAGAGCTCATGCCCCACAAGAGTCTGTATCTTTTGTAACAATTCCATAGGCAGAGTTTCCAGGTCCCCTCCAGGACACGCCGGTGACCACACCCAGGTGTCCTAGTTCATTTACAACCCCTCCCGGGCAGAGGAACGTGCTAGACCAGCAGCGAGGCCCACCCGAGCCGGGTGATCAGACACCATTTACGCTGGTAGCCAGGGTTACAGAGCTAGAGAGTTAACGGTTCAGACTCCCCTGCAGACGAGGAAAGGGCTTTGTTAACAATTTCACCCACAGTCACCTATCAGCTGCATGGTCGTGAGCAAGTCATTTAATATCCCTGAATTTCAGTTGCCTCACTTAGAGCCCATCTCAGAGAGGGGCAGGAATGGATGAGAGTAGCTTTGATGAAACATAGGCATTGAAGCAAGATGTCCCTAAGTACTATAAAAACAATCACTTGTGTGGATTTAAATATGTTTGTTTCTTAATTTCTCTGAGCTTCAGATTCTCTTTCTGTACACTGGGAGGATTAACTTAAACAAAAATGTGTGAAGACACTCCCCCCATTTTTCTGCTATAAAATTATGTTCAATAAATGTGAATGTGAATGAATGAATCTGAAAGTTACAAAAACATTTGGTTTTCTATAGTCACATGCACGGCTACTCGCATGGTCTCGTGGGAGTAGAGTTGCTTTGAAATCCTCTTGCCTCTTTCGATCATTCATCTTTGTGGAATATATATGAGCCTGGAATCATCATTTATCTTTACTTTCTAATCTTGAAATTCTACATGATCATGAATCTCATTGTTTGAAAAGGGCAGGTTTTGTTTTGTGTTGCACTGTGTTTGTCAAATGCCAAGTGAATGTTTCTTTTTCACGCATCTTTTCTTTTTTATGCATTGAAAACAGGGCAAACAAACGGTTTGTTTATAATAGCATTGGCATGAGGGGGGGAGTGTATATGTGGGATCATTCCTATGAGAATTCTAGTCTTCAGGAATTTTTCACCTAAAACTATTAATAAGTATATGCTTTATTTTGCTTATAGCATTTAATATTTATTACATAAAATAAAAAGTTACTTCCTTCCCACATTCAATAAAGCATAAAAGGAAACTTTCCCCCCAGCATACAAATACACAAAACTGATATATTGGCAAGTCTTCCAGGAAAATCCCTGCAATGTTCACAACAGTGAGACCCTGGTATGTGAACGCTGTAGGTGGGCCTCCAGGAATTAGAGGCGCTCTCAGATTTGGCTGCGGAGAAGTGGCAAAGGGTTTGATGAAGCGAGTGTCCACCTGGCACCTGAGGATGAAATCAGACTAGGTACCGTCTAGCTGAATTCAAGTTCTCACGGCCCAGCTGTTCTCCTGGAAGCCATCAAGGCTAGGACAGATGGCATTATTGTTTCCTCCACATGGCTGTCCATAAGTACAGGTTCTAATTAAAATAGATTATAGGGCATTATTTACAATGGCCTTCTTAAAACATGTTCAGTAAATAAACACCAGGAGTAGAACTTGAAGGGGTTTGCAAATTAAGAGAGAGATCTCTGCATACAAACACTATGTGTTAGTTACAGCTTTGCAATAGAAGTGCATTTTCCTGGGAGAAAGAGTATTACACTCTAGGTGGTAAAACTTGATCTGTGACAAAGAAATCCACCACCTGGATAAGGTGAATGAGAGCAGTCTGTGGGTACAGAAGGCACAGCTACTGTAGCATATGTGAAATGATACATTTCAAGTTGACTACTTTGGTTTTTTGTTTGTTTGTTTTTTGGTTTTTTCTTTTCTTTTTATTTTTTTTAAACTTATCTTTATTGTTGAAAGTATTACATATGCCCCCTCTTTTTCCCCCTTGATCCCCTCCTCACTCCTACCCCCTCCCCAGGCCTTCACTGCACTATTGTCTGTGTCCATGGGTCATGCATACATGCATATAAGTTCTCTGGTTAATCTCTTCCCACGCTCCCACCCCCTTCCCTCTGAGAATCTTCAGTGTGTTGCATGCTTGGCCATCCTACACATTCACAGGAAGCAGACCGCCAGGACAGAAATCACCTTCAGGACGTCAGAAGTACTTGAGGGACTCAACGGAAAGACAGTAGATAATCTACCAGCAACAACAGAGCTTTCCTATTGACGAGTAGCTTCAAACTTGGCATGATCAGAAATAGTGACCATTCGTTTATAGTTGTAAAAAAAATCTTAAGACGTAAGATGCCAAACCCTTCTAAATTGCTCACTTAGTAATTATTAAGAGAGGGCCACTGCTATGCAAGGTCCCATGTTAGATGTATGTGACTATGACACTTGCCCTGGAGAAGCGTATGGTCAGAGGGAATATATGACACCTATGTCAATCACTACAGTGCACTGTGGAAAGAGAGAGGTAGAAAGAGAGGCAGACACGAAAGCAGGGACGTGCTAGGCAGGAGAGTCCTTGGACAAGCCAACACTGGCGGCATTACATAAGCAATTTTCACTGTCAATTGAGGCTCTGACTGCAGGAGTCGCCTGGGAGGTATAGGTTTATTCTGCCATCTCATGGCTGGTACTGCTTGAGGGCAGGTATAATGGGTATTAATTCCCTTATAATCCCAGCATAAAAGGCCCAATTTATATGCTGCCAACAAGAAGGGCACTTCAAACGCAAAAACACAAGATAACTAAAAGTGAAAGGCATACCATGCTAACGGGAAGACCTGTGAACCATGCCGTATATCACAAAATATAGCATGCTAACACCAATAAAAAAAGAGGAAAATAAATAAAAAGCACACACATTGGAGAGAAAGACGTAAAGTCATCTCTGTTCATGGGTGACGTGGAAAACTCTGTAGAATCTCCAAAAAAAAACCTACTGGAGCTACTAAATGAGTCCAGCAAAACTGGAAGACACAAGATCAACATATCAAAATTCAACTGCATTTCTACACATTAGGAATGAACAATACAAATATGAAATGAAAAACAGTAACACCAAAAATGATAAAATATTTAGGAATACACTTAACAAAATAAGTACAAGACTTATACACTGAAAACAGCAAAGATCATTAAAAGAAATTAAAGACGTACGTAAATGAAAAACATGCTGAGTTCACTGACTGAAAGACTTAATACTAATTTAAGACAGAAATGCTCTCCAAGTGAATCTATAGACTCAACATAATCCCCATCAAAAATCCAAAAGATTGTTTTTTGCAGAAAATGACAAACTTAATTCTAAATTCATATGTAAACACAAAGAACCCAAAATAAACAAAGCAACTAATATTATCTAATTTTGAGGCCCACTGTATAAATCTACAAAGCTATAAAATTTTGCTAGCTATAGAAAATCTTTGTGGGAAAAATCTCTCAATATGATGTCCAAAGCACAATCAAAAAAGAAAAAATGAATGAACTGGACTTCATCAACATTTTAAAAGTATGCTCGTTAAAAGACACTGGTAAAAGAATGAAAAGATAAGGCACAGACAAGAGAAAATCTTTGCAAAGTATATTTAATAAAGGACTTGTATCCTGAACATGTAAGAACTCTCAAAATTAATAAGGAAACAAACAACCTAATTTTTAAAATGACCAAATGGCAAATAAGCACATTACTCATTAGAGAAAGCTATTAAAACCAAAAGTAGAGACCACTCCATACACCTATTAGAAGAGCTAAAGTTAAGAAGACAAACCATAACAAGTGCTAATGAGGATGTGGAGCGACTGGAACCCTCCCACGAGACTGGTTAGAAGAGACAATGATACAATTACTGCGGGAGACAGTTTGGCAGGTTGTTTTTTTTTTTAAAGTTAACCATCCACCTACCAAATGATGCTACCATTCCATTCTTATGGATTCATCCAGAAGAAAGAACATGTCTATACAAAGACTGGTGCATGAAAATCATGGCTTATTTATAAGAGCCAAAGCTCAAAACAACCCAAATGTCTGCCAACAGGTGAATAAACAAAGTGTGATAAATCCATACAATGGAATACTATTCAGCAAGTAAAATTGAATGAATTATTGATCCATGATACAACATAGATGAATCACAAAATAATTATGCTGAGTGACAACGCCCCCCCCCCCCCCCCCCGCAAAGTGCTTACTGTTGATTCCTTTTACATAAAATCCTAGGAAATGTAAAGTAATATATAGGGACCAAACAGTGGGTGGGTGGCAGCCTGGAGAGGGGATGGAGTGTGATGAAGAGAAGCAGTAGGGAGGGAAGTATAAAGGGGCAGGAAAGACAGTTAGGATTTACCCAGATGCTTATTATCTTGAGTGTAATGATGGTTTCATGGGCATATACATCTATCAAAACTTAAATTCTACTCTTTAAATACGCCAATTTATTGTGGGTCATGTATAACTCAATGAAGAAGAAAAGAAAAAAAAAGCAGCCTTATTTTTAACCATATACAAGCATCAACCAATTTTATTACTCACTTCCGACCGGTGTGCCTGGTCAGTCTAACCATCAGCTTGCGCGCCTCTTCTGCGCTCGACTGAGTGTTTTTAACAAATGAAATTGGCTTCTCAAGGCCATGTTTCTCCAGAAGCTCTGACACGCTGGAAGTGAAAGAAGACCTTTCAAGTCTGGCTACCAAACAAAGTCTAAGCATCTTAAATATTTAAGTAGCAGTTAGGTATTTCCTATTAAAAAAACCACACACACACATAGAACAACCCAATTTTATATATTACATTAATTCTCAGAAAAAAGACAAACAAACAAACCAGTAATTATATATCAAATCATTTTTCCCCTACTGATTTTTACTATAATATGCTTGGAAGAAGTAACAAGCACACAAAAAAGCATAACATATCTTTCTCTCCAAATCCTTTAATATACTTTTCCTGACTCTAAAAGCATCAAGTCAGTAAAATAAGCCAAATTTATCATTTCAATACCCAGCTTTAACTCTTAACAATCCTATTGAGTATTTTGTTACAGGCAAGGCTGCTAAAAAAGCAATAAGCAAAGAATTTCATAGTTGGAAAGCCACAGAAATATCATAAGACTCAATCTCCCTCCAGAATCCATTCTATAAACATACAAAATATATCAGAGACTTTCTTGGTCTCATATGAACCTTCTTGAGATATTCCATTCCATGACTATCAGCAGGACATACACCGGGAATACCTTGCCAGACCTCACATTTATGCATTAAATACTTCTGGGCTTACGGAGAGACTGGTTAGCATTTAATCACTCTTCACAAAGACAGGTTTCATGGGTCATGTCACCTGTCACGTCAAAACATTTATCACCTATTAATGACTATAAGGTGGAACAGAACTAAAAAGTTCTTATTTTAAAAGGTCAGCAATTAAGGTCAACAGTGGAAGGCCGGTATCATCCAGAACCTACAAGATGGTACTGTTCCCTGGAGGGACTGAGAGTATAAGCGACTATGAGGACCTCCCACAGCTACAACCAGTGACAGAGGGTGAAATAAATTGTTTATTTCACTGTAGATCTTTGAGGCAGTTCAGTTTCACAGGGGACAAAGGCAACCATGAAGATTCGTAAGGAATAAATCTATACTGACTTAACCCAGTGAACTTCAAAATATCTTTATACTAAAGTCCTTTAATTTGAATGAAAATAATTTCTAATTCACAGATTCCAAATTATTATACTTTTCTATACATATTACCACAATAAATCAATGTTATTATTTATTTCCTATAATTTCTATAATTACATATAGGAAGAACAAAGTTTATCATTCCTAAAATTTTATTTTTAATACAAATAGTTAAAAATTATACACAACCATAATTACATACTTATATAAAAATAAATACTAATAAATATTAGACTTCCTAAATGAAAATTGGGAAATTTCAGTCTCCAAAAGAGACAATTTGATTTTTCATTTGACAGTAAAAGAATATTACTACAGTTACTTAAAGGCACTAGTGCAGTTTGCTATATCTGGATATTCAATCAAATGTATTGTCCCAAAAAGCGAAGTTAGGAGTATAATGAACACTGTTTGCTGATAAATGCAGTAATTAGTACAGGAACTAATTTTTTTTGTTGTTTACCTACAGTGTGCAAAGTACTTTAAATGCTTACTCTAATGTTAATTCCATAACCTCATGAGTTCAACATCAGAGATACAAAACCCTAGGCTGAAAGATCACACCACTGGTAAATGGCCACACCTAGATTTGAACACAGGTCTACCAGTCTTCGAAGCCCATGATCTTACTACTCTAGCCATTTGTAAAACAAGCTAGTGCTATATTTGTTTGAAGACAACTCACTCACAAGAGTCACACGTGCATCGGTCCAACTGGAAATGGCTGCTAAGCATATTTAGAGTGACAGTTCTTAACCAGCACAGAGCCACAGACTGTCACTCTTCTCACCTGAGAATCTGCTCCAGCTGGTCTACCATGTCATGAAGAGCGGTGGTTGCCTCTGTCTTAGGGCTAAAGGATTAAGAAATAAATTACAATTAAATTCCAGGAGTAGTTCTTTAAATAAAGTTCAAAACTCACTTGACTGGGAAAAAAAAAAAAAAAAAAAAAAAAAGACACGCTGTTTCCTGAACTTAATACGTCACAATTTTCCACAGTCCAGGTGAAATTCCAGGCCTATCTCCTGAACTTGTTCAGCATCTTTCATGCCTCAAGAGACTAAGATAAAACATAACAGAGTAAAACAAAATTCTCTATTTTACATTAGCAAGACTTGGGCAACTATTTTCTAAAGAACTCTAAATTCAGTTCTACCAAAAGACACAAGCAAAAAAAAAGAATTATAAACCAATTGTCTTTTTTCTTTTAAGAAGGTAAGGAGGAAACTGTCATTTATTTCTGTTTTTGAACCAATAAAACAGATAAGAAAGTGGCCCCGCATGATGGCTTCCTCCCGGCCTGTCTACACCACCTGTGATACCCTGGGAAGCTTCCATCAGGATCCTAAGTTCTTGGTTCTTCTTCATATCATCACTCCCTCTCCAACCACTTCAATATGAAGGAACCAGGGGGAAGCAGGGCCATCAGTAAAAGCAAACCCTTTGTGGGGAAGCACGTGGACAGGGGACTGAGAGAAACATCATCATGAAAAAGTCACACACTAGTGCAAATGTGCCGGTCGGGCAGCCTTCGCATGGCTCTAGCACATACAAGTGAAGGCAGCAATTTGGCAGCTGCTATCAAAGTCCTCTTCCATCCTCTACAGCTGTGTCCCAACCACGGAGGGAACGCTGGCAACAGAGCTGCCACACTGACCCAACTGGATTCCCGCAAGATTGGAGGGTTTTCTTAACAAAGAGACCAAGTAAAGTTCTTTGTCTGGACTTGGACAATTAAAAATGACCTAACTTGAACACAAAAGTCTCATTATTTAGGAAACGATCAATCTGTCCTGATTCTAAATCTACTTGGCAGTTATTTAGTGCAATTTACAAAGATTATACTATCTTTTTGAACCAAATTTTAAGACTTGGACTAGAGTGATAAATTAAGGTATATTACATTTAAAGTCTTTCCAAAAAAAAAAAAAAAAGATCATTTGTCAGATCTAACTTCCGTTAACATCCAGGAATAATATTTTTTAAATTATCAGTTAATAGCTTGGTAATAAACATTTGTCACTGATTGGCAAGAATATAGTTCTTCCTTTGTGAACTGACATTCACAAACACAATGACAAAAGGTTTCTTTCAGCCAGATGAAGTATGCTGCCTAGGTAAGATGCACAAAAGTTTAATTAAATTTAGTAAGTGATTGTTCATTCTCTAAATGGCAAAAAAAAAAAATATATATATATATATAGTTTACTATTTGGTAACAACCACTGAACCACCAAGAAAAAACAACCAATCACTGGGAGAATATAAATTGGCAAACTGGGCACAAAGAGCAAAGAGAATCACGGAAAATATTCCGAAGCCCTATATTTTCATAGTGAGCTAATGTACAATTACAAGCTATTTTAAACATTATAATTGGGACATACAACCGTTAAGGAAGAAATGTAACAAAAGAGCATCAAGTGTTTTTTGTGTGTTTACAAAAGAATAAAAAAATCTGTTAGATCAGAAATCATTCAACTGAAGCTCAAATAGCTTTCAGCCTCATACAGAGAAGAGGCATTTTTTAGCCTATATACTCTTTGAAACAAATATACTAACTCCTGAATTGCCATGTCTACAATTTAAAAAGTTATTTTAATATCATCATCCTATTGGCCTGCAGGAGACAGCCAAGCAATGATTCTCTCTCATCACTGAAGCTTCTGTCTCTCTCTCCCTCTCCCTTCCTCTCTGAAATCAATAAAAATATATTTAAACAAATAATAATATCCTCATCCTATTGGCACTATGACTATCTCCTCATGGTAGACAAATTACTGTTTAAAAATTAATAGATAAGCTTATGCTTATTTGATCTTACTGAAAAAAGTCAAATACATTTAGTTTTTGAAGATATACGTGTCAGGAAGTCAACTTTTACCCAGTTGAGTCAGGGGCAACAAAGGAGGCCTCAAGCTGGCAGAGGCCAAGTCAAGAAGAACAGCATCTATAGTGAGTGCTTGCTTTCAGAAGACAGGATCTCAAGGCTGGGAAAGGTGAGGCAGCCACGGCTGCTCATCTGTCACATGTCTTCCAATCTCCTGACTTTTCCTGCTTCACACATGATTCCAGTGAAAACTTTGAAGGGGGTTATGTCCCTTTGGACTCCCTGGCTTTAGAACTGTAGCACCCCAGCTCACCACTGTTCTTCTCCAGGACACTGACTTCTCAACGTGAAAAGGCCTGTGACTGTGGCATAGCTCACACTCTGCTCACCTTGTTCCTCTTCCCCTGCATGTACTGTAAGCCAGAGTGCAGTTTAAAGGACTGATGAGATTGAGGAAACAATTTTACTTCCTGCTGTTTCTCTCCAGGAGGCAAAGGCTGCCAGGGGTCTGACTCCCAGTGAAGCTACATTTCAGAGCTTGATGAAAGGTTTATAAAGGTAAATTCCTCAGTGAAATTACACACACACAAAATTTATTTTTTAGAAAGCCTTTCGCCTGAATTCAGGCATGAAACAAGTATTTCACAGTGGGTTGCAAAACTGGTGATTTCTACCATTCATTTTACACACACACACACACGCGCACACACACACGATAAAAGGCAGGGAGAAAAGAAGAGAGAGAAGGGGGAAAAAAGGGCAAAGAGAATAATCAGAGCATGAGGAGGCCTCCATGAATCAATATCTGATTTTTTAAATGCGGAAACTGAGGACCAAGAAGTTAAGTGGCTTGGTTAAAGTCACAAAGGGTTATAAACAGGTCCACTGACTGCATTCCATGCCCTTCCATATGTTGGTATTAACTTCTCCAGACGTTAAATTTATAACATTTACTAGATTTGAAGGAGTGATTAAAAGAATGAATGTTGTCTGACTTCCAAAAAGAAAATATAAATATGATTGCATACAACTAAATGAAACAAAGGAATGTTGTATAAATTCCCACTTAAATATAAGCCCAGTTAAAAATTATGTAAATTCATTCCTCAAGAAATTAAAAACTGAACTATCATGTGATCCAGCAATTCCACTCCTGAGTATATAGATGAAGGAAATGAGATCACTGTGTCAGAGAGATATCTGCACCCCCATGTTCACTGCAGCATTATTTACAATAGCTGAGACATAGAAACAACCTAAGTATCTATCAACAGATGAACGATAAAGCAAATTTGATATGTGTGTGTGTGTGACACATACATAGTGACTTCCCATATCTATAATGTGTGTGTGTGCGTCTGAGATATATATCACAAAAGAATATTATTCATCCATAAAAAAATAAAGAAAATCGTGCCAAAGCCGGTTTGGCTCAGTGGATAGAGCGTCGGCCTGCGGACTGAAGAGTCCCGGGTTCGGTTCCGGTCAAGGGCATGTGCCTGGGTTGCAGGCGCTTCCCCAGTGGGGGATGTGCAGGAGGCAGCTGATCGATGTTTCTCTCTCATCGATGTTTCTAACTCTCTATCTCTCTCCCTTCCTCTCTGTAAAAAATCAATGAAATATATTAAAAAAAAAAAAAAAACCAAAGAAAAAGAAAAAATAAAGAAAATCGTGCCACTTACAGCATGGATGGGCCTTGAGGATATTATGCTGCATGAAATAAGCCAAACAAATATACTGTATGACCTCACTTATACATAGAATTAAAAAACAACAACACTAAACTCACAGAAAAAAAATCAGATTTGTGGTTACCATAGGCAGGGAATGGAAAGTGGGGTAATTATATGAAGGTGGTCAAAAAATACAAATTTCCAGTTATAAGACAAATAAGTACTCCTAGGGATGTAATGTGCATGACAATTATAGTCAATACTGCTGTATGTTTAAATTTCTCAGAGAGTAAATCCTAAAAGATCTCATCACAAAAACATTTGGGTTTTTTTCTTCTTTTGTATCTATATGATGTGATGAATGTTAACTTATTTATGGTGATCATTTTACAATATATGCAGGTCAAGTCATTATGCTGTACACCTTATAGTTATATGGTGCTGTATGTTAGTTATATCTCAGTAAGACTGAAAGGAAAAAAATAAAGTGAATTATATATATTAATGCATTCTGCTTAAAGGGATTTCTATAGGCAAGAGTCAAGAACAAACAATTCATAGAAGAAATACAAATAAAGAAAATGATTAATTGGAAACACAACTTAAAACAAAGACATATCATTGTCTATACACTTTTTAAAAAGTATTTCTTGTTGTGGTGGTAGTGGTGTTTTTGTTTCTGTTTTAATGGATTATTAATTATCAAGGTTGAGGAAATTATAGTGACTTCCCATATACTGCTAGAAAAACAAAAGTTTATCTGTAAGCAACTGATTTGCAGATCATTTCTTTTTCTTCTTTATATTTTTTTATATTCCTCAAATTCTCGGCAATGAACATTCAAGGAAGCAACATTTTCATTTTAACCGTGAGAATACAGAGACACTGAATATAGAGACACTGCAAGATTGGAAGTATGTCTTCTCACCCATATCCCCTCTGTGGCAGACATTCTAATATGTCATAGCAAAGGAAGAGCTGGTCAGTCCGTTCACAGTTGTAGATGCAGTCCAGAGCTACTGCCATCAGCTGGTCCTGGTCAGGAATAATTTTTTGCTGCAGCTGGGGAAAATAAAGCACACTGTACTAAATGTCAATAGATTTACAGGCACGTTTTCCACACCCCAGCGCCACTGTCAATAGAATATTATATAGTTCAATTAATCAACTGCAGAAACAAATCTTGATATTTCTTTAGCTTACAGACTTTGGGGATCGTTAATAATTCTAAATGAAATCACATTTTAATTATAGAATCAGCTAGAAAAGATAATTTGTACCCATAAGCTTTGCATCTGCTAAAAGCAGATTCAATTTACAATTCATTCAAGATAGAAGAGACACAGTGAATTAAAAAGGCAACTCATTAAAAACATAACCCTAAAGCCATATTTTATGTGTTTCAACTACAAAAATATATAAAATTCCTTAAGTAATATTCAGATATGTTCGATTTTTCAAGATGCATAATATATTAGTCATTTAACTAAACAATACTGACATTGTACCCAAAGTCACATTGTAATGCAGGACTATTCAAATCCAAGAATATACTCCATATATCTGATGCAGAAAATGGCTACTCTGAGTCACTTCCTATATAGGATATACCACTTCCCACTGCAAACCATAGGTTCCAATCTTAGATTTCTGGGGCATAAAAATAACAGATTTGTGCTTTGTTTTTCTCATCTATAAACCTGGGATATTAACAACAACTTCCTAACAGGTATAACATTGTTGTGTGGATTAAATAAAATAAGTGTAGAATGTTTATATCATTGCCACTACTAAAAAAAATGGAAATTTCCAACAGTTTTCTTAGAGACCTTTTCAATAATAAAATAAGTTTAAGATCATTTCCATAATAAGATTTACTAGTTTTCAACCTTCTAGTAGAAACACTAAACAGATAGGAAAGTGATGGAGGGAAACTGTCGAACAAAGGCATTTTCTCCATAGAAAAATCACATCAATGGATGGAGAAAAGAAACACTCAAGGTTACCTGAGAAATAAAGATTTTTTTGAAGTAGTTGGGTTAAAGCCTTTATATACCTTTCTTCAAGGTGTTAAGAAAAAAAATATAACATTAATGTGGCATCAAAAAGTTGTCCAAGGTTTCAAAGTGACAAACTGGTAAAATAGGGACAGGCAGCAATAATGAAAGTATTATTAAAAGTTAATTAAAATAGCTAACTTTTTCTAATTTCAGATTATCTCGTCAATAATATTGCCAAAAAATATATTTCCATCTTTATGTTTTTCTAGGTTTTCTAAATATTCTACAACTAGAGGCCTGGTGCACGAAATTCATGCACAGGTAGGGTCCTTGGGGCCTTCCTTCCCCAGCTGCCAGCTGCTGGCTGCCAGCCAGAGCCTTCCTTCGCTCTGCGCCGCCTCTTGGTGATCACAGCAAGTGATCGAACTCCCAGTCTCCCAGTCAAACTCCCGAGGGGACACTTTGCATATTAGCCTTTTATATATATAGATAAGCATTAAGTTAGAAGTAATTTTAAAACTAAAATTTCCCATTGAATTATTTAATCAGAAAGAACTAAAATCTTGCACCTACGAAACTATCATATACAGTGAATTCCCAATTAAAACAGCTGTTCCTAACCCAGTGATGGTGAACCTTTTGAGCTCGGCATGTCAGCATTTTGAAAAACCCTAACTTAACTCTGGTGCTGTGTCACATATAGAAATTTTTTGATATTTGCAACCATAGTAAAACAAAGATTTATATTTTTGATATTTATTTTATATATTTAAATGCCATTTAACAAAGAAAAATCAACCAAAAAAATGAATTCCCATGTCACCTCTGACAAGCATGTCACAGGTTCGCCATCACTGTCCTAACCCTAGCATTCCTTCAGAATCACTGGATAAATTGCCAAACACATATTACAGAACCCCTACTCCCCAAATTCTAATCTATTATATACCTGGGATGGTATATAATAAATTAGAAAATTAAAATTTTAAAAATGCACATAGCCTGATGCACTAGGGCATTCAAAGTATACTAGTATAGAAGACACAGGGCAGCATGAGCACAAAGAATATTTTATTCCTAAATCTTCTCTAGGCAGGTTCACTTTCCAAAGGCAGATCAAGCGAAGAGAAACCAGAGAGGAGTGATTTAGGATGCTGTAAAAGAGAAGAAAAGTTTGAGGCATGTGAGAATGTAAAGATGACAAATGTGCTTGTATTCTAGTTGCCAATTACACACTCCCGACTCCCTAAGAGAGGATTATTCTTCCCTGTTCCATTAACAGCAGGCTCAGCCATGTGCCGCCTCTGGCCTGTGACGTGTGAGAGGAGTAACCGGAACCACTCTGAGCTAAAACTTGAAGAGCCACTGTGTGGTTTACTTTGCCCTTTTTCTTGTGCCACAAGCTAGAGAAGGGGGCTGTTCTTTCAACCGATGTCCCAGAACAAATAAGACCTGGGACACAGCAGACGCCCATCAACAGCCTACATGACACCTGAGAGAAATGAATACTTGCTGTTATAAGCTACTAAGATTTTGAGCTCATTTGTTAATTCAGCATAACTTAGCCTAAACTGTCGAATACAAAAAATCGTTGTTCCTGCCACATTACTAAATCTACTCTGCATGACTCATGGCAGATTCCAGATACGCTCTTTTTGTAAACAATCCAGTATAATAAAAGCAATGTAATCAAATCACTCTAGCAGAAAAATAAGACCCGATTTCATGCACGCATCATTCATTCATCCATCTGCCCTGCCAACATTTACCAAGCGTTTGCTCTCTACAAGGCAACATGTTAGCCCCTTGTAATAAACACGTAAGACATAGAGAACGTACACAGGAAACAAAGGGGGAGAGAGACAAGGGTGTGAACACATCATTGCACGACAGCATGAGACAAGCTATTACAGAGGCAGGAACAAGCCCTCCGGGTAAGGCCCAGAGGGTTCACCGGAAAGGGGATCTGGGAGATCAGGGCCCGGGGGGGAGGCAGTGCTGTGTAAGTGCAGGAAAGGGGGCTGACTACACCAAGCAGAAGGAAGGGCCCATGAGAACTCAGAGGCCTGACAGAACACGGCAGGGTGACGACGGGAGACGTTCGGAGCCATGGCCTAGTGCACCCATGGAGGGAAGTGAGGCTGAGGAGGCAGACAAGAGCAGACCGCAAAGAACCTTCCAGGCCACCTGAGAGAGATGAGTGTTTACCCTGCAGGCAATGGCAGCCCCTGGAGGCTCTCTGTAGATGGTCACGTGGTCCAATGTGTGTGGTAGAAAGATAACACTGGAGCAAGAGAAGCTGGAGCCGGAGAGAAAAGCCCAGCAACACCATTGTTCTCTCCTGCGCTGCTTACATATTTCAAAGGGCTCTATGTTTTATTCAAAAGGCACATGCTAAATTGCCAAGTAAAACAACAAAAAACTGACTATACACAAAGGATTTATAAGATTCTGTGAGGAAGAAGTATCACACGCAAGATTACTGACAAGAATTTAAAGTCATTCTTTCTTCCTCATAAAACATTCATACCCGATCCATCCTGCTCTCACAGTATCTCTCGGGCGTCAGCAGCTCACCCGGCTCCCAGGGAAGCTCCCCAGATTTAAAATCCGAATACTAAGTCATAGCTGCATATGAGGAGATGGGAACTTTCAAACAGCCAATGACAGACGAGCTTCCAGAAACCAAAGAACATGCTAATTAATAAGCAATGCTTTCCTTTTCATCTTAACTGTATGGTTATGACCACATGCCCTGGAGGACTTCAGGTTGTAACAAAGGCTAGCGCAAGGAAGTGCCCCCATTAGAACGTAGGGTGGGAGGGGCCTGAATGACTTCTGCTTGAATCCCTATCTAATGCTTGAATCTCACTACAAAATCTGTGCCCCACGTGACAGGGCCACCGCCTGAGTCCCTCCCAGGAAAGGGAGCCCTGCCTTCTGAACCAGCACATCTCACCTCTGGCTAAATTAAGAGATGGTTTGCTTTGGAGGAATATGCTGCCCTTAACCAAATGGCTTACCCCCAAAACCTCAACAACTGCTTGAGCCCAGTGGACATACAGAGCTATCCATCAGCAATCCTAAGCAAACAGTTATTAAGAATAATGACAAGATCTCCTTATGAGACCCCAAAGATTTCCCTAAATACTTGAAGGCCCTCAAGGGCAGGAAGCACGTGGCTAAGAACAGGACTGTGAGATTAGAATGTCTGAAGCCAGGTCCCACTCCTCACTAAGGGCCGGGCAATTGCACAGCCTCTCTAGCCCGCGGTTCTCGTTTCCCGCGATATAACATAATGCAAGCAGCTACCTCACAGGCTCGCTGTGAGGGTTAAATGAGTTACACTGTCAGCGCACCTGCCGATAGAGTTCAATGCCTATCGCCTGTTAGTCTTTTTGGTGTTGCCAGTTCCAAAACATAACTGTCAGTCAACATGGGAGTAAACCAGTAAAATAAACATAATTTTATGGAATTCCAAAACAATTCTGGACCGAACTACTGAAACATGTTTAAAGAATTAAATGACAACCATTTCCTTTTCTGTTGAAAGGGAAATTACTTGCAAAGCCTATTATTAAAATTTAAAAAACAAAACCTAACTCTACAGAGGAAGCAGTGCAGAGATTTCTCCGACGTTAGAGTTTCTACTTACGTCTGGCTTGGAATGCTGAAATATCTTCAGGGGAAGTCTCAGGTCCCCTTTGGCTGACGTTACCAAGTACTCCTTCAGCAGCTCCTGCGCCGCGCCCGGGGCCTGCTTCTCACAGCGGTGGAGGAACGGGACCATCCACTGGTAGGCACCTGTCACGTACTTGTCCTCGGAACACTGAAGATGCAATGAAAAATAAGCCCGCACTGAATTACATTAAACACCTGCTTATTCCAGACTAACGCTCCAGAAGTCCCCAATGATCGTACTGAGTCAACAGAGGAAGCCCAGCGCGCCCTAAAACAGACACTCCGGTTCGCCCCGCAGCCTGGGAGGTAGAAGAACCACCTCTTCTTGGGGTCGGGGAGCTAAGAGCGGCTCCAGCCTGCAGCCTGTCCCCTCGGCACCAGCACCCTCTGGGTCCCTACGCACTCCCCCGCCCCGCACAGGCCAGCGCTGAGTCAGGAGGTTCCCAGAGCGAAGACACGTTCTACCCGACAAGTGTGTGTATGTGTGGGGGGCAGGTATATTGTCAGAGAGACACCACAGACCAACAGAAGTGTGTAATAAAGAAGCGAGAGCCAGAGACAGGTGTTCAGACCCAGAAAAGAAATTAATAATTAGAAAAAGGGAAGGTAGGGGTAGAGGGAAAGGCAGAAGGGGGATTGGTAAGAGGGAGAAAGATGACGAGAGAGAGGGATGAGAGAGAGAAAGGAAGATGGAGAGAAAGCACAGGAGAGAAAAGAAGAGTCAGGGAGAAAGGGAAGCTATCGGGTGGCTGTGACCATGAAGGCCTGGCCCATTCACACCAGCCACCCAAGAGCAGAGACAGGAAAAGCAGTGAATGCCTCCTCAGCCCCATCATTCTTGAGTCACAGGTATCCCTCTACGCGGTGGGCTTAGCAGAAACCAATTCCTAACTTTAGGAATGTATTTTCTCCCCAGGATGACCCCCCAAAAATCTAAGAAAACAGGCAAATTCTCCTAAACATACTAACCCTGAAGTCAAGATGTTTCCTTCACACACACACCCAGCCCTCTGTCCTCCAGTAATCTTTTTTTCAGATCTTAAAATAAATACGTAGCTGTGTCTTTTAACACGGTGGAGGATTAGAATCATGAATACTAGAATGAGAGCTAGTTTAGAAATATGCCTTGCTGGAATGGGGTGAGGCGGGGTGGTTACATATGGATGCGTATGAATAAAGGGCGGCAGGATACAAAACAACCAGAAGAGTGTTGGAGGCCTTCAGTAACTTACCCATCAAACTGAAAACAGTTTTAGAAAGTCAAGAACCCTTCCTTAATTTACTAAGTTCTCGGGTTTGGAGGACATTTCCGCTTTGGCTCTGAGACACACATTAAAGTATACAAGGAATACTTAAAACAGGAGTTAAAATTACACCTACACTATTCATCAGTAACCGTAGCTTTTCAATGTCTTCCATCTGCTGGAGCTCCTTCAAGGTCAGGGTTAAGTCACAGCCAGCTTCGTAGACGAGCACTTCCAGAGTAACCAAATCATCACACAGGGCCAGCAGGCCAGGGATGTTCCGCTCCATCCCCAGCCGAACAAGGGACAATGCACAGTCAACCTAAAACGGAAAGGCAGCAGTAAGCCTGAGCGAGAGGCTTTGCCATACATCCTCAAGCAAAAGCCTTCTGCATAGAAGCTAATTCTTGTAACCAATTTACACAAAATCACATCAACAATATTATACATTTTTAGTACAAAACTTTAGAGTTACTTATCAAATATATCACAATCATACAGTTTCAAAAGAATCATACAGTCAGCAAGACATTCTGCAGATAAAGATGGTAAGAGAAAGACAACCATCTTAAATCCATAGACCATTATAGTTTACAGGGTAGTTTTACAAATATCTGTTTAACTGACAACATTAACAGGCAGGGGGAAATCACAGGTAGTTAGTGATAATACCAAATTAATCTTATTTTCACTGTAACATTCTGCTCTAAAAATACTGTTTTGCTTTCATATTCCTCTCCAGTACCCAGCCTTTCCCAGTGCCTTCCATATGGCACTTCCATTCAATCTATATTTTCTCTGCCTTAATTCACATATGCAGACTCCTCCTAGACAAAATGAAGAATGATTTTCCTACAGATGCTCAGTAGACAGCAATTTGACTCTATCATTTGACAAGATTTACAAAATGACAGATTTTGATTGATGGCAAATTTCTAAGGTGGCCTACACCTATAGTGCCTCTTACTACTCCTTACTTACTCCCACTCCCAGACTAACAGGTATTTAGTGAGGACCTACTATGAGCTAAGCACCACTGTGTGAGTTAGGAATATAAAGCTGAATGAGAGAGGTCTCTCCTTCCAAGATCTCTCCATCTCACAGGGAACACAATCAGTAAAACAATGCCTGAAGTGGAGGGAGGGAGGTATGTGGGTGAGTATGATCTCAAAAAAGAGGGCCCGGAGCGCCCCCTGAGAGTGTGGCCAAGTCTCCCAGAGCTTTAGAGAATCAGTGGGGTTACCAGGTGAAGGAGGGAGAAGGGCAAGAGAGCAGCGGAAGGCAAAGATGCGCAATCTGTTCAAAAGCACACTTAGTCCCCTACAACTGGAAAGGGGTGTGAGGTGAAGCAGGAGAAACGTGGCTGGAGACAGGGAGGGGCCAGGTGACAAAGGACACTGTTTGCAGAGCTAAGGAATTTGCAGTTTCCTGGAATGCAATTCTACCAACGGACTTTCGACTGCGGCGTGTCATAAACTTACACTTCGGAGAGATCCTAAGGAAGTACGTATGGAACAATGAACTGGGGGTGAACAGGCCTGACGCTGGGAGAACGGCAGCTACGAGCACTAGAAGACTCGCTACTATTGGCAAGCGCAGCACCCGAAGGACAGCAATCTTTAAGGGACAAACCAAAGAACAGGAGCCACATGGAGGAGACTAACAGGAATTGCCGGAGTCCAACCACAGCAGGTCCAGGGGTCCCCAAAGGTGTGGATGGAGTCGGCGAAGAAGGAAGGACACGGAGACAGTGTTCAGTTGATCAGCAGACTAGCCAGGATCTCCAGCCAGGATCTCCAGCCAAGTTCTGGTCTGGATCTCCAGAGAGGTTCTGCTGTTTATTGTCTTGTTACATCCGTATTTATCCCAGTTGATTTTAATCCTGTCAATTTCTATTACAAAGGTTAGGGCGTTTCTTATCTCCATTCCAGGGAGTAAAGATTATGTAGCTTAAGCATGATTGTTTGTAGTGATTAACTGCCCGCCTGGCACTTAGTTAAGGAGTTTCATCCCCTCCCTGACTTCAGGGGAAAATTCCTACCTGGGGAAACAACCTTTCTCGGAGAGGTGACCTTGGTTAAAACACACAGCGCTAAGGGGAGCAAACATATTAAGAACAGTATGCTATATACGCCAGGTCCCTTGAAACATATGCTGTGCAGATGTTTCTTTCCTGCAGCGACTGTGTCAAGCAGCAAGGATGGACCGGCTTCCAGCAAGGAATGGCTAAGATAAAGACAAGACAAGAAGGGACAGGGGATCCCAGGAGCCTAGGTAGGAGAGACTGCAGGAGGGAGGAAGCAGGAAGGGAAAGGCCAGTCTGTTAGACAGCAAAGGCAGGAGCCCAGGCACTGAGAGGCCCACGGGAGCTGGGATGATGCGGCTTCAGTCGAGGGGTGGGAGCAGCCAGACTCCAGGAAATGAAGAGTCGCCAGACACTGAGCAAGTGACTCCAGAGAGCAGCGACTAGCTGGGCTGTGACAGAAAGGAGTCAGCTAAGCTGAGCTAGGAATGGGGATCGATGGTTCTGCACACATAAAATAGCACCGAGTTGAACTTTATGTCAAAGGTGGGGGGGCGGGGGGAGCAGGGCAACAGACACAGGTGAGGACGGGTGAAGATACAGAAGAGAGACCAGATGGCTGAGCAGGTGGGAGTGGGGTCCAGAGCACAGGGAAAGCAAACAGCTGGAAGGCAGGAAGAGACCACGCCTTCAGGGAAAGGCTGGAAAGAGTAGGAATAATGGAAGAGGCTCTCCAGTTGCCCAATGATACACCAAGCGATTCACTGCGGAGAAGGATGCAGGAGGTGGTGGGGGTGAGGAGAGAAGTAGGGGGAGAGGGAGTAGCATGTTACAGATTCACCCACAGCCCTCAGAGACCCAGGATTGACAGGTGAAGATAAAGCGAAAGAAAGAAGAAATGCATGTTCAGTTGGAAAGAGTGGAATAAACATGAGAGGGAACCAGAGTAGGGAGGTTTGAGGCACAACGGGAGTCACCCAGTAATGCTTTGACAGATCACATTTTCACCCAATGTCTAACAATGAAAACTCAAGTCGTGTCTGAAAGGACCCATCTACCTGTTTACCAATTAAAAACACTATCTCAGGTGCGCTTTCAGAAAACAAGAAAACTTGATGCATAAAACTTAACTCATACGCACATTAGCGATGTAATACACTCACCAATTTTGTGATCCGGACTCATCTTTTTCATATCAACCTTGAAACTGTTGCTTTCCCAATACTTACTGAAGTCAAAGTGTTTTAGAATCAAATAACTGACACCTCATAGGAAAGTAGGTGCTCATGCCACTCAAAGAATTATAGCACAAACCCCAAGCCCTCCCTGGACAAATTTTACCACGAGATACATTATTCTAAGCCAACAAAAATATTTTGCTAAAGGTATTTGCAGGCACTGAGGAAAAAGAAGTCCCATATCAATTAAATTTTTAAAATGAAAAAGATAAACTATGCTAGATATCACTCTGATTGTAGCATAAGCCACATGAAACGCCAACCCATGAAATAAAGCTGAAGAACAACACCTCCATTAGAAATGTTTTTAAATAAATGAAAGAGATGAGAGACTCGAGGGCAGCTAAATAAATCACTCCATGCACTTAAGGCTGCTCCGTGCCTGCTCTTGACTCAGTAGCTCCTTTCTTTTCAGTGCTGAGGAATATCCGCTGTGTGGCTGCACTGATGTTCACTGCCCCTTCACCTGCTAAAGGACATCTTGGTTCAACTGTAACAGACGCAGCACTCAAACGCGAGATGTTAATGACTGGTTGGGGGTAAGAAAGGGAACTCTGTCCTTTCTACTCAATTCTTCTATAAACCTAAAAACTTCTCTTAAAAAAATAAAGTACTACTAACCAGTTTGGCTTAGTGGATAGAGTGTCAGCCTGGGGACTGAAAGGTCCCAGGTTCAATTCCGGTCAAGGGCAGGTACCTTGGTTGCGGGCACATCCCCAGTGGGAGGTGTGCAGGAGGCAGCTGATTGATGTTTCTCTCTCATCGATGTTTCTAACTCTCTATCCCTCTCTGTAAAAAGTCAATAAAATATATTTTTTAAAAATTAAATAAAGTACTAATAAAATAAATAAATAAGAATATAGATAAGTGTAAAAATGACAATTTATTCCACTTTTCAGTGTGGCCCTTTTTCTCTTTGCATTACTGCTATTTTTTTAAAATCCTGAATAATGACTGAAATTTGGGTTACGAAATATTTAAAAACTACAAACTGAGAAGCCATTACTGATCTTTTGAAATGCACAAGGTGGCTGTCCAGCACTTTTTAGACATGAGAAGTTTTTCATTCTCATTCCCAGTTCAAATAACAGAGCTACTGAGATATCAGTTATTTAAATGTATGTATCAGTACACTCACACCGCCTTCCTTCTTACTCTCAAAAAGCTCTCCCTGGTTCAGCTAAGAAACCACCAAGTGCTCAGACTGAACTGGTCCACAAGGAATCCTTTTCCTTGTGACACAGACAGAGGTAAACGCCAGGCACGTCCTGGAAACCAGGTGATGCCCGCGGGTCCTGGAAAGATGTCTAGATACGAGTTACACATTCACTTGGACAAACATGTGCCTCAACGGTTCACCTGAGAGCTTTCTCCACCAGTTATTACCAAGTGGGTTTCTCCTGCATTAGCAAACTAAAATGCCTTTGCCTAATCTGACCAATATGAACTGGTCATTTCCAGATGTGTCCCCAATGGAAGCAGAAGGGTCCACCAGAGGCACCCGGAAACTCTGAGGGGATGTTTCTGTCTGTCACAAGAATTGGTGGGCGGGAGCCAGCGAGGCCAGACGCCCCACAACGTGCAGGGCAGCCCACGTAACCACCTTGTCCTGAGTCCTGCCTACCTTTCAGATGTTCTGCAAAACCTACTTACAAGGATCAGACCTCGACTTCATTTAATATTTACACAAGTCTTTTTTTGTATGGGTTAAATTACACAGAATGTCCTGGAATGCAGCTACTATATAATCAAGTGAGGATATTACTTTGTTTTGTTAAAAAGCTTACCATGAGCTGTTCACATCCCAGACGGCAATCTGTGGTATTTAACTCAAACAATACAACACCTGAATCACAGCTCCCGGCCTCTCATTCAAGGTGACTTCTCACCAACTACACTTCCAGCACAGTCATGACCCAGCATTTACGTATTTTACTTACCTTATATATTGCACAAAGTCATATTATATTAATTTTTTGGAAGTTTTCTACTAATAAGATATGTTTATGATTTTCTCATCAGGATAATGTCTTACAAAATGTTTACTACTGAGCCCACTTTTTAATGACTTCCTCTTGCTCTGAAGTTTGTGCACTTGCTCGTTTGCATGTGGGCTCTCAGAGAACCATCACAGAGACCTGGCTCCGTCACTGCGACCCCTGATCTAGCCGCTCGCTGTGCTCTCTGTGAGCCTTAGTTTACCCTTCCGCCCAGAAAATCAGACCAGACCGTCTCCAGGGGCTCTCTTCATGACAGCAGCCTGCGATTCTAAACAGTTTCTACTATGGTCCGCAGTCATCTTCAAAAACTCAGAAATCATAAGTATTCTTGGCCATCCCCTACGTTCCCATCAGCTCCTGCAAATAAATCATCTTCAATTCTATGAATAATAAAAACGGGAATCAGATTAAGCAGAAACTCCAGGCTATCAAATGGAGACAGAGGGCCAGGCCAGAGACAGTGCACAGAAATTTAAACACACAGGGGGTACGCATTCCCTCCCACAGTATAGAAGTCAGACCCCCTGAAGTCACCCTTCCCATCAGATGGAAAACGGATGGTAGGATGGACGGTCCAATGCTAAGACTGCACGTGGAAAAAAAAGACACCCACTGGCCCGACCCCGAATGAGATTCCTAAGTGCAACCGCCACCCCTTGCTCCAAACTGCTGACTTCTGCCCTCTGAGATGAAGACAACTGTTGCTCACATTAGCAGATCACTCAACTAGCAGAATTTGAAATGTTCCCTCCCTCCCGTTTATTGCCTCTGTTCTCCCGTGAAAAAACTAAGGAACTAAAAAAGGTCGGTAGCAGGTCCAGAGTCACGAGGTGCGTTGGTGGAAGAGAGGAGATTAGCAGGTGGATGTCTGCGAGTGTAGAGTCCCTTCCCTCTCTCTTCCACACCCTTTCTCTAAGGCAGTGCCATGCATGTCAGTAAGACGGCACGTGGGAACGGAGGCTGGTTAAGGAAAACGTTAGGACAGAGCCTCCAGCAGGGTTTCGGAGAAGCAACATTACGATTCACTGTGTTACTGCAATGTGACAGGGGACTGTCAAGCATTTCTAGGCTGATACAATCTTTTTAATTAATATGGTATTAAACCTACTAAAAATACATGGAAAATCTCGAACAGTATGTGCCATATTTCACAGCTTACATTTTAAAGAAAGATTTTTAACAACTTTTCTTGCATATGTTTGCTCTTTAATAATTTCCAAAAAGCCACAGAAACTTTCTAGACAAATGATAAATGAACCAAAGTGGTAAGAAATGTTCATTCAACCCTCGCAAACTATGCACACGACCCTGGCACCACTGCTGGCAGCCACTCCGCGCACTGAGCCCTCGGGACCCAAGGCAGCTGCTGGCACCTCTGAGAGGCAGCTGCCACCGCCCCTCACCTGTCCAGCATGATGCTCTATCTCCTCTGCTCGGGTCTGGTACCAGTCCATCACGCTCTCTACTGCAAGCTGGGTGGTCTTGAACCTCAGTAACTCAGGCTGAGCAGCGTACAAGAATTCACTCTCGTCTTGGAGGCTCGGCTCAACAACCATTCTGTAAAGCAAAAAGGAACAATTAGTAACTGATTGGAATGCTGGGAAAGATTATCATTTGGGAGTGGGCTCGGTTACAGAAACAGGAAATATGTGTGTATGTATGTGCGTGTGCGCGCACATGCACACGTGTGTTTTCCTATATGTATGTGCACATGTACAAGATAAATGGGGCATTTTGGGAGGTGCTTAATTTATTTTCCTCCTAGTTTTCCCAAATTAAAAAAATCAGAATGGACAATAAATCAAAACAACTATGCCCCAAATCAATCAAACAAGTATTAGCAAAATGAAAGTCACCACGGGATGCTTTCACAAAATGCACATGGCTAGGTGCCTGCCGCAGGGCTGCCAAACCAAGATCACCTGTTTGGGGGAAAACCTCCAGGTGATTTTGATGCAAACAGAAGTGAAGAAATGCTTGTTTTCCATAAAAATAAAAGGAAATATACCTTATGATGATCATATACCTTGTGTAGGTGTCAACAACATAGTACTACACTGGCATTTGCAAATATGCCATCGCTCTACACTCCTCACCATCAGAAGGGAAAGAGAAGCGGCTAGAGGACTGTTCACTGAAAGAGCATCACCAAGGTCACAGACTACAAGCTTGTATAAGGATGACCCTGGCCTTCCAGGGTTAAGGACTAAAAAGGAGGAACTTTCGCTTAAACTAAGATATCTCAGGGAGACATAAGGGAAAACGCTGCATTCCATTAGAGACATCCATCCATCTACAGCAGGCTGGCAATACATGACCGGCGCTCTAATTGTTACTATTATAAGGCGGCGGGCTTGGAGTCAGAACTGAAGATGAAGCATAATTCCATCATGAAAAGCCGTGAAACCTTGTCTAAATTCGTAAGTGAAAAGTAGTCTGAGATTTGCTTAATTCAGATAAAAATGGGAATAATACTATACAAGAATAGTCTAAATAATATAAAGTCCAAGGAGAACACCAGCTGGCCCCCAGGCAGGTGCCTAATTCTGATTTATGGGTATTATTTTATCGGAAAGATTAGTAGCTGTAATATTTGCCCAGACACAAAGCCCATAGATGTTTGGACTTCGTATCCACATGCCTTAGACAACCTCTAAGGCTTGAAACTGGTAGCCATTTACTCCCCTAGGCTCACAACTGCCATTAGCATTCTGACCAGGGATTTTCCCCACAGTGGAAACGTCACATGGCGCCCTCCGCAATCCCCCACTGCAGCAGCACACATCCCCGCAAGCACCTGGAGCGCCTTTGATATATTTTTCAGTCCTTCCTTTTGACCATTTCATAGACTCCACCCACTTTCTCCTTCCACTCACATGCTTCTCTCCTTCCACTCCGCTATGGGTCTGCTCTCTCCTCTTCCCGGCTGCTCTTTTCATTCCTCTGGGTTAGAATACCCTCCACCATTAAATAGCTGTTCTTCCAAACACTTCGTCCCGCTCTCTTCTCATTCTATACTCTCTCTGGGTTCCCCTTTCAACTATAAAATACAAATTAGCACAGACATCGTAACTGCCATACTTTTACCCCTAACCCGAACTTCCCTTAGAAGCCCCAAACGCTTCCCAGGTGCTCTGCAGATATTTTGCAGGGCCTTCAAATGCCGCAAGATTGAAACTGAGTCGAAAACTGAAACAGGTGTCCCGACCCCATGCCCCTAGGCCCGGCCTTTCCTCCACTCATGACACTGGTGCCTACACAGCAGCACCCTCCCCCTGCTGCATCCTGCAGAGGCCAGGCCTGTGCCTAGCCCCCCCTCAGTATCCTTGAATCTACCAGCGGGCAGGCACTCACTAAATGACTGGGCAACAGGAAGTGACCTGTCCCACTGAAACTCTCTATCGTCTTCAAAAGCACCTTTCCTCAGTCAAGTTTTTCCTGGCTTTTCATTTTTATACTTTTGGGAGTTCCAGCGCAGCAAGTTTTACTCCCACTGTAGCTTGCCATGCCTGGTCTGAGAAGAAATACTTTCACGCGATTTATCTACTTGTCAGAAGGCACAAGCTCGGGGTCTGGAAGGACCGGGTGAAGAGGCAGGTGCCGGGTCAGCGCGGCTCTGTCAAGAAGCCCATCTCACGCTGAGAGAACTGTGGGCAACAAGTCGGCACACCTTTCCCTACAACCACGGCCACTGGCATCAACCCTCCACCGTTTTCCATGATTCCGTCCCTTTAAACTCTCAGTACAACTGGTAAGTAAAGACTTCTATTAAGTGTGGCTGGAAATACCAGGCACTAACCTCCACTTTCTCCTGAGACTCCACTGAAGCGACAGGAAAAGATTTTCTAAGGGGAGGGGATGTAAACACTCAGGGAAGAAAGGGTACAAGGAGTAAAAATAAACTAAGCCATAATTTCTCATCCGAGGAGGTCCGCAGTAATAGCCAGAACTAAAAAGTCCAGAAATAGCTGTGCCGTTGCTATTCAGCGATATGGAGGAAATGCCAGAATAATCTTCTAAAAGAACTGAAAATAGCTGCTCTGGTGAGCAGAATACCAAGGAAAGGGAGCCGAGGACTATGGGTTTTTAAACAGCTTCAACATTCGGTACAGAAACTTTCACCACGTGCCCGCATTTTCAGCCCCACCCCAGGCTGTGCCCAGTGCCTAGTGCTGGATCCTCTGGCTCACTGCCTGGCTCCCAAACTACAGCTCTGCTCTCGCATCGGGAGAACATGGCGGAGAGCGGGTGACGGAGTATTCCCGAACTCTGAGGAGTGGGGACGAAGGGGTTCAAACACACCTGGTGCAGCCCTTCAGCCCCACCCCCTCGCTCACCCCCTTCTGCAGGACCTGATGCCTCCACACTTTGAGGCTTTCCAGGGTTAAAGCTTACAAAAATGAAAAACAAAACTGAATGAAGAACAAATCCGCATGCAGAGCATATTAACAACGATGACAATGGCGGTATATGTCAAAGACTGAAAGTGAACTCCCAGAATGAATCGACTGTGTGTGCGAACCACTGTGAGAGCGATTCCTTTGTAGCCTTTCATGTTTTTCCATTAAAATAATGCTAACTGAGTCGTCGAGCTTTTGGGTTTTTTTTAAAGTTCACTCAAACTCTGTCAGTCAGGGACCCCCATCAAGTAAGTGGTCACTGAGCACAGCCCATTCCCAGGGCCGCCTACCCATCCGCCCCCGGTGAGAGGAAGCCCTGGGCCGGCCCGCTCTTACCTGCACGCCGCCTCCTCGCACCAATCTTTATCTCGGTGTTTCCGTTCATGCCAAGGAATGATCAGCAAGGAGTCACCGCTATAACTTAAATTAAAAAACAACACATAAGAACTTAAATGACACGTTACCACAATGACTGGCTACACAAGGAACACGTGGCAAAGATCTCTATAACCTTTCATCTCCAAGATTCCTGCTTATGGCGTGTTACGTGGCGCATGATACGTATTAGATACAATGGAAATGGAGATACCAAACCGCAGATCTCTCTTCTATCATAAAGTGGCTCAACAAGAAAAGAAAAACTCAAAACAAAAACATCCGACAAGGCCGAAACCGGTTTGCCTCAGTGGATAGAGCTTCGGCCTGCGGACTGAAAGGTCCCAGGTTCGATTCCGGTCAAGGGCATGTACCTGGGTTGCGGGCATATCCCCAGTGGGGGATGTGCAGGAGGCAGCTGATCGATGTTTCTCTCTCATCGATGTTTCTAACTCTCTATCTCTCTCCCTTCCTCTCTGTAAAAAAATCAATAAAATATATTTAAAAACAAAACAAAAAAAACATCCGACAAGGACACAGACAATAGTTCAGTGAAGGCCTGGGATGGGGAGGGAGAGGGGTGGACAGGGACGACGACGGGATAATGGGGGGGCATCTGTAATAAAAGATTAAAAAAAAAAATTAAAAACAACATTTGGCAAGGAACTCAATGATGGTATGGGTATGAGTTCGTTCACACTAAAACACTTATCAGGAGCCCATATTTTATGTTCTTGATAGCAACATAAATGGTCCCTTGCCCTCAAAAATTACCTAACTTCTTGTGACCATAAGAAGGAACCACTAGCTACAAGTACATGTATAGAGCACTGCAAATGTGGCTACTGATACTAAAAAAGAGAATTTTCATTTTAATTAATTTTAATGTGACTAATGGCTACCGTATTGGACAGCATAGATATAGATAGGAAATAGCAAGAGTAAAGAAATGATTTTGCAGATTACAAATGTCATTAAAAGCGAACAGGAGAACCTAAAGTGGCAAAGGCCTGATGGGATAATGAACACACGATACCGTGTGTACAGATAATGTGTGTGGAATCGTGCACCTGAAACCTGTATAATTTTGTTAACCAATATCCCCAATAAAAGCAATAAAAAGAATAAGCTGTTCAAACACATTCATAATTAAAAAATAATGTAGGAGACCAAAAACCAGAGACTAAGTCAGCAAGGGAAAGTGAGGTAAAACAGAGGTGCTGGAAGGCCCGAGGCCCGGCAAACAGAAGCACCTGCCTTCGATAGCTGCACAGCCTTCGGCACGCGGCCCTGAGAAATGAAGCCCTCCAAACATTATCCCTAAGGTCCCTCTTAGCTCTCACAACCCAAGAATCCATGAAAACAGCAGAAACATTCTGAATTAAGAAAAAACACAAAAACACAAAATCAAATTTCAACTGCCTACTCTTATAGTTCATGAAGACATTCCCTGTCACATTTCTGAAGACCAACAGTAGCATTTTCCTAAAATTAACCATAACCCCAGAGAAAGAATCGCACTTCTGTGTATTATTAGGTTATGTTTTGTACTCTCTTGTCCTATTAAGTTGTAAGTCATGCCTTGCACAAAAAACAGTTCGTAAATGTTTGAAAATTATGTTGATGAAGAGATAGGCCTCATGTAAAAGGTGGCAAGAGACCCCTGGAGGGTTTTAGAGTGGAAGAGGGACGCCTGGGAGTGGACAGTGCTGGGCAGCACCCCCTGCAGTATTATTACTGGAGCAAATTACCCAAATTCTAACTTCCCCGTTAGATACGTGCAATACAAAATGCATTACACAATATTTTAAAAACACAGTATTTTACCCATTTTTTAGCTAGCATGTAATGCCCTAGCTAACTTTGTAACAGATATATTTTTAAGGCACTGGAGTTCAGATTTTTAAATTTCTGAAGCACACAGGTGGTTATTTACAATGAATGTCACCAAGTGAAAAACTATTTCATTTTCTTCCTTGTCAATAACGATTTTATCACAGACCACTGAAATGGAAAGTAAAAAAGAACATTTGGATCCAGTGACGGCAATGTTCACTCTTCCAACATGAGAATAAATGACAGCAATGAACTGAGGAAGTTGGAAAATTCTAATTAATGCAGATATGGTTCCACAAGCTACGCAAAATGCTTTCTAAAAGAATTTTAGAAAAATGTATCACAAGTTGAGATTTGAAGTTTCTATATGAAGTATACATTAGATACAAGGGTTATTAATAAAATGATTAGTAATGGCCTGGAACCCTCAGCAAAAATAATATGTACTTGGTATCTAAACACTAGAAAGTTGTAAAACTTTGTTAAGCTTCACTGAACAGAAATGGGTAAGAAAACACTCCCAGTTTTATCAGAACATGTATTAAAAACAAGCTCTGAGCAGAGGCCCACTCCGAAAGGCAGGCCTGAAGAGTCCCAGGTTAATATAAAGTGGTTCTGCTGCACTTTCAAGGCACACAGCACAACTGAATGTTTCTAAGTGTGCTGATCACCGCTGATAATAGTGCTAGCAGTTGATCAGTGATGATCAGTAACAGTAATAATCTTTAACATTCACTGATCTGTTACTATGGGTCAGACAGGATAAAATGGTTTTAACACATAATACCTCACTTAGCCCTACTAATCTAATGTAGCAGATAATATTACCTTCTTGATATTATTACGAGAAAACCTGAGGCCTAGCTTAACTTGCCCCTCCTCATAAAGTTAATAAATGACAGAGCTGGGCTTTCAACAGGATCAGGGCCAGGCCCAGAGCATGCACTTTGAGCTAGCATGCTCTCCTGCCTCCAGAAGGGACACGGGACTATCATCTGGCCCCAAACACATTTCCATCCCCATTCCCAGCATCCTCTGCTTCATACATAGGAGCCACCAGGTTTGATTTGTGAATAAGGACCATTTACATGCATACTGAAAGGATATATTTAAAGTAAGATATAAAGCCAATCTCAACACCAGTATGTTGGTTACTAGTCAAATGAAACTACTACCAAATATGGCTTGACCTTATTTTTCATCATCAATGGTTATTTAAAAAAAAAAATCTCCCTGGTCTTTTATTTTCTTACAGGATGGCTATAAAGCAAATTATTTTAGAACCCACGTTAGGAGTTTAAAGTAAAAACATCTTTGTTTTGTCTATTGCCACATCCTCAGCAAAACAGTACCTGGCACTTAGCAGACTCTAAACTAACATGTGTCAACTGAATTAGTTGGCAGCATAACAGATTTCTTTGGTGACCTCATGAGTATCACAAAAATTCAAAACTGAATAGAGCAACGAAAGGGGCCAGTCTGTTCATAAGAAACAGACATGTCAGGAGGTGCATTTACACAGGGCCTGCAGATACGAGAATGAGAACATGAATGCTTTCCTAATTTAGATTACTAAACTGAAGGAAGGGCAAGCTATACTAGTAATGGCATACAATCTACATAGTTAAACATGTCATTATGCTTCGGGGTGGAGAGATATTTCAGAATATACATTCCCCTAAATGTCACAATTATTTTGAATTTTACATTTCAAAATAATTGGTTAGTTCTCTCATTACCTTCTAAAAAAAAACACACCCAAATTTTAGCTACTTATTCTTTCATACGGTAGGCAGAATGATAGAATGCTTAATAAACTGCAGAGAAAACCTTTTCATTAATTCTGTTCACAACAAAAATACTAGTCATGTAAATTTATCACTAAGATGGGTTATGTGAAATTGGGGTTCAAAACAAAACCTAGAAAACATACGGCTTCATTCTAAAGATTGTACAAAGCTTGGTTAGTTGCAAACCTTAAACTTGGGATCTGAAATTCTATAAACATTTACATAGTTTAGTTCCGTGGTCGGCAAACTGCGGCTTGCGAGCCACATGCGGCTCTTTGGCCCCTTGAGTGTGGCTCTTCCTAAGCCTTAGGAGTACCCTAATTAAGTTAATAATAATGTACCTACCTATATAGTTTAAGTTTAAAAAATTTGGCTCTCAAAGGAAATTTCAATCGTTGTACTGTTGATATTTGGCTCTGTTGACTAATGAGTTTACCGACCACTGGTTTAGTTCTTTTTTTCTGTTATTTCTCCTTTGCTTGGGAAGTCTTAAAATTTAAATGCATCATCCCCATTTAAAAAGGAAAGTACACAGTAAACTTAAATTATTTCTTCACAAAACAATGACTGCTTTAGCTCTGAACCCTGTTCATTGTTTTATTCCAAACAATAAACTTTGCTGGTTTCATTTGAAGGTAACATTTACCTGTCAGCAGGAAAAGAATGAATATAACAAGTTCTGTTATGTTCAACTATTCTTTCACCAATTATTTCTCACACTAAATATAAGTTTTTATTTCAAAGAAACATTATCAAGAATAAACATACAAAAGTTCTTTTATTCATAGTCTATGCCTTGGAGACAATAGGCTAAATAGTGAGTTACTACTAATTGCCCCTTTGAGGCACTGGTTTTAAGATGTGGAGATGTATTTATTCCTATTATTAGCATTGAAGAAAATGTTCCGGTAAATAAAGGACAAAATATAATGATTTGGGCCTACACTGTTGTTACCATTACTGAACAAATCTCACTCAATGGAAAACCAATTAAAAAGGTAGTTATCACTCAGAATGCCAAGATGGAAAAACCATCTAAAGGCATTATTTAGAGTTCTCTTCTGGACCAACGGAACTCAATTTAATTAATAAATTACTTAGAAAATAGAGCAGAGACTAATAAGACGTCCTGAACTAACCAGCATTCTCGGATGTTTGCCATGTGTAGAGAGAGGCAAGAGTGGAAACACACCCCTCGAGGACCTGGACCCCTCAGACTCACCACAAATCCCATTTACAATGACAAATTCGCAGGTAAGTAAACTGCATGAGCTCAAAACTCATCACTGACTTTCTGAATGAACAATTTCACAATCAGTGGGAACAGATCCACTGACATTTTCATTCTAAAATCGGAACCCTCAAAAATAACAACAACAAAACTCTTAAGAACCAGAAGAAGACTTAATGAAGACATGA